GTCGGTCTTATTTTTGCTTGTGTATGCGAAGTGCAACTTTGCCTCTATGTTTAAAATATGATTGACTCTCCAGACTTCGCTGAGTCTCTTGGAAGGCTTTTTCTCAGTAAACTGTTTCTTTCACAAGCTTGTTCGAAATGTTTAAAATATTTTTTTTCATGAATTTTGTGTCGAAAAGGGCGCGAAGGTCTGACGTTCAATTGCTTGCCTGAATTTTAATGAAATTTTGATACATACGTTCTCAGATTTTTTGAAGTTAGAATTCCGAGTTTTGGTTTTAAGCTCTTGTATACAAGTCAGGAGAAAGTAATTATTTTAAACCTAATTATTGTCAACAGAAGTTACTTGATAAATTTCTGAGAACCTGTCAGATGCGGAATTCCTGCCACTAGAGGAACTCCTAGGTATGCCCTTGCACCCTGTCATTGACTTCAAGATCACGTTGCTTAAAGTTGAATTTAAATTGAGTTATTTGTACGGCTGAACGTTTGCAAATTTATTCGATACATTTTTGTATAATTGATATAAATCACTCAGCATTTAGGAAACATTTAAATTTTGCTTTTCATCTTTTTTTTCTACCATTATCAGGAAAATGCTCTTACACTTGTTTTCGAGGTTTTTATAACTAAGTTCAGGTTAAATCTGGGTTGTTATTCACCGTCTTTTTAGCTATATCAGTGATGCTTATTCTTGCAAACAGCTAGGGCATTGCAACTGGGTGCTAGACTTTTTACGTTAGAAAGAGCCGATTTGGTGAACTCTTAAACTAGTGAAGCTTTGTGTTAAGTATGAGGCCCATTTTAACCAAAAAGATACGCTGGTTTCTTTGCACAGTTTCTATTTCAGAATTATAAATAACAGAGATTCAAGTTAGTTTCCAGCAACTAGTCTACAGAATGATTCCAGATGGGGGGGTATTTTTTGTTAAAAGTTGAGTTTTCTTGGTTTTATTTTTGAGTTCGTTCCATTTTCAGTTCAAATGCATTTGCTAAAAAGAAAGCAATGTATGCTCTCCACTAACAAAATTTTAAATCGAGCGAAAAACCATACGCGAATGACTACTAGTATCGAAACACATGAACACTGTTGCCGCATAGTCTTAGCATTATAGCAATGGCCGTTTAGTAATATGGGTTTGATTCGCTTTTTTGATGGCTATTGCTTGAAGACAGATTTTTTTACTTTTAAAAGTTTATGTGTTTTCTTTTTCTTCACTTGCGCTTTAGAGTTTTTTTTGCTATTTTTCGTTTGTTCTTGCAATATGTAACAGAAAGGCCTCGTAGATGAATGAGTCCAGAATCCAGAAGATGAGTCCTGTGAACAATAAATTTACGGTACCAGTGAACAGTTATTTACCGGAAAAAAATCAAGTAACCTATTAAAATACCCTTGCTGATCGTACGGGTATAAACAAATTCAGGTCTTTTAACTAGAATCTCTAAAAAAAAAGCAGACAGCCATCAAAACCGTCCGGATTTGAGTCGATAATCAGAAAGCAGAAATAAGTCAACTAAATTAAACTATACTTCTTTTTTTACACTTGCGAGGCAAAGTGTGTTAGTTAACTTTCTTTTTTTCAACTCAAGTCGCAAAATAAAGTGCTACCTTTGCTGGCACTTTTGAATCGGTAGGCTGAAGTAGCAGTATAATATCATAAGTGCTTTGACATTTGATTAGTAAAAGGTTTACACAATTGATGCATTTTTAATTCATCAAATAAAACGAGAAAATTTATTTGTTTCAAACAGCAGACAAAGATAAAAAGCTCAAGTTCAGTAATTTTTGGTTCAGCAATTGTGTCTTTTCGCATTTGGTGCTCATTTTGCAGCATCTAATTGGCAATTTATTAGCATATGTAGTTGCATTGTTGATGGCTAGTTTTCGGGGATTGTAAGCATCCGTGGCTGAGTGGTTAGAGCGTGAGGCCGAAATTCGCTAGGTTGCAGGTTGAATTCGACACGTAGCCCAGTTTTTGCTAATTCGAGGCTTACTTCTCTTTTTTCTTATTTCACTTGATAGAGCTGCTTTTTGGTCGTATTCTTAAAATTTGAGTTTCAAGTCAAATCTTGAGTTTCTACTAAAACAGGAAAACTTTTTGATATCAAAATTGACGAATTTTGATTTCAAAAAATTGTCCATGAAAAGTTCATAGAGCTTTAAGATGATACTGTTTTTTACCTGAAACTCAAATTTCGACTTGTTTTTTTTTCATATGCAGTCTATTTTACTGTTGTATTGACTGTCCACGTCTACATGCGGTTAGCTTTAAGAAGTTATCTTTCAGATAATAGTTCGATTTTTTAATCGGAAGTTTTAAATAAGAAAATATATTTCAATTTAATTGAACTGTTTCTGCTTTTTTTACTATCGACTGAAAACCGGGCGGCTTTGCTTGCTGCCTGGTGTTTTAAAGATTCAAATTGAAAAACTTAAAATTGTTTTTACCCGTATGATCAGGAACATTATTTCAATACTAAAGATGATTATACCCTTTTTTAAAGAGAAAAATCTTTTTGTTCTTGAAACCAAAAAAATGAAGAAAAAAGTTAATTGATATTCTGGAACTTAAATTTTTAGTATGTGGTTACAAGTTTTCGATTTTATAATTTTTTAACCTTGGTATAGCTAGGGTATTGCTATTGGGTACTAGACTTTTTCCCGAGCAACTTTGTCCGCAGGACTCATTTTTGCACTCCTTCATAAATCCTCCTTTGGCTCGTCACCCCCACCTCGCATAAGCACCATTTTTCAGGTTTTGCAAGGTTAAACATGAAGACCAAGTATGTTTGTCATGGCCTAATTAACTCGCATGCCGATTTTTTTAACATAAAATTTGGCAGGAAGTAAAATTTGGCAGGTGGGGGGAGGAAAAAGAGTTCCTCTTTTCTTCGTCCTCATTGCAACCCTACTCTTCTCGGTTGCAAACATTGACCTCAGTTGAGTTTGTTATTTTAAATATCCGTCCTTTTCAAAATTTGCTTTGTTTGATGAATGTGATTTTTCCAACTCGATTTGTTTAAATTTAGTCTTTTGTTTTTTTTGTCCTTTTTCGGCTTAATATACTCGGGCCTATTTTATATAGGCTTAGTGGCCTAATTTCGAGGGGTGTCAGGAAAAACATAGTTTTTGTATGCACCTCTGGATCGCACAAAAGGCTGAAATTCTTAATAGAAATTAGATATTTAAATGCGGGATGCGCTATCTCGCCATGTTTAAGTTTTTTCAACGTATTAGTGTTGCATGTTTAACTTAAAAAATTTTTTACGTTTAAGCTATATCGTATATTGCAATGATCAAGATTTTCTTTCGATTTTTCAGTTTAAATTCAGTGTTTATTTCATCAAGTTTAAAATTAGCAATCCAATAGTAGGATATTGTCAGAGTTTTCCCAGGTTTTGCGATTCTGGCCTCCATATATGAATAACCAAATCCTTTTAGCTTACGAGATAGGCAATTTTCGAGATTTTTCAAAAATTTCTAGAAAGTTCAAGTTAAAAAAATTTCTCAATTTTTGGAATATTCACCCTGTAGTTGGATGCCTTCAGAGTACTCTCATGGGTTGCGAATCTTGCCTCCAATTCTCAGTTCTGTTTTTTTTGTCCTTTTTTCGGCTTAATATACTCGGGCCTATTTTATATGAAGAAAAAAGTATGGATTTGAGCTATTCAGTACAGCCAATGCTAAGGATATTAACACAGACTATTATAATACAAATAGCATTTTTGCTTCAAGGTATCATGGATCTGTAGTGCAGAGGTAGGCAAGGAGACCCGCAGTAAAATGAGATGGTTTGAACCTGGGCAGGGTCGGATGTTTTTAATGAACTTTTTCGTATACTATTTAAAATGCGTCTGCTCTATAAATTGAGGCATGTTGGTTGGTAAATGTCTTTTCAAATTGACTGGTACTGCTAATGCGTCTTAATTGGCGTGCGCCACTTAAGATATTTTGTAGACTCAAAGTGTCACTCATTCAGTTTTTTCCAGTAGCGTTGTCGGTCATTTTTTTTGCTTGTGTATGCGAAGTGCAACTTTGCCTCTATGTTTAAAATATGATTAACTCTCCAGACTTCGCTAAGTCTCTTGGAAGGCTTTTTCTCAGAAAACTGTTTTTTTCACAAGCTTGATCGAAATGTTCAAAATATCTCTTCATGTTGTCCGTTGATCTAGAATGTTTTTTTTCATGAATTTTGTATCGAAAAGGGCGCGATGGTCTGATGTTTATTTCGATTCACATTTTTTTCGCTGAAATCTTACTCTTCATTGAACATCTTATTGTTTTGAACATCATTGAATCACAAAATATCAAACGCGAAGCGGAGCGTAAAACATTTAAAGTTTAAAGCCAAATTTCCGAAATCTTACGTCAATGAATAAAATTGCCGAATTTTTGGTATAAACTGTTTAAACAAGGGTGAATGGTTGCTCAGAAATTAGCACAGAATGTTAGGAACAAATCGATTTGAGAAAAGAAATTCAAAATCTTTCAATTTTGTTGTCTAAATTTTTAGTAATTCCTTTTAGGATTTGAATTAGATTTGAATGCAAAAAAGTGGCAACGTGTCAAATGACCTTAAAATTCGAGCAGAGTTAAAGTTGATAAAATAATTCAGATCAATTTTTCTCGACACAGAGAGGAATTTTTTTGAAGAGTTTTCCTTGAACCAGTAAAATTTGCCTGGAAAAATTTAACAAGCGAAACCGTAGACCATTGGTCTTTCCCACTCCTCGATAATGGTCGGAACAAAAAGCAAATAAAATAGATTTCCTGATGAAAGCCGAAGAATAGCAAAAAATATCTATCGACCTTGAGAGTTTTTTTGAGTACTCATTTTTTGAGTACCAATGAGATAATAAAGAAAATTTGGAGAAAATCCATATATCCTATCCACTCTTTGGTTGATTGGAATAAGTGTCTTGATATTGCGAGTTTTCACTTTCTTCTTTGTCGAAACTATGTTCACATAATTGGACTCAAATTAGTGTTGTATTATTCAGCTAGCTCAACTGTATATTAAAGTAATATATTTTAGACAGCTTATGTTTTATAACTATCTGGTCGAGCTGAAGATTGTTAACTGTTGAAGTTGTTATAAATCTCAGTTGCCTTTGTTTATACATCGTTATTTGAAAGGTGTAGAATTTTGAAAGGTTAAAATTTTGAATGGCGACGTTGGCGTTTCTGGAGCGCATAAGAATTGAAGTTCTAAGTCAGTGCTTTGATGTAGCTCAGACTCAACTGGAACACTTCCGAAGCTGTATTTTCGAGCCAGTACCTCCTTGTTTCCAACTGAATTGTTGCATCCAGTTTGCAGATGACCACGATGTAGCCAGAAAATGCCAGATAGAGGTTAGTGAAACATGGTCAAGTTGATCAAACACGGACAGTCTGAATCTGGATTATTATGTGTTTCCTATATATGTTTCAAGATAGCGTGCAATAAGGCCATGCAAATTTGTTTCTCCTTGTCTCGAAACAATTTATCTTCAAAATTTCTGGCATGTCCACTCGTCACTTGCATATTATATTTTTCTGTCCAAACTTTTTTTGTCCAATTTGCTGCAAAGAGTAACTTTTGAGAGTTTATGTTTAGCTGTGCTCGCTTCAATCGTTCGTTTCGTGTCAATAAAAGGACATTGCTCAAAACAAATTGTTTTCACGAGGATTTTAAGATTTTAACAAAATCAACATGAACAAAATAAATGGACATGGTCAAAGTTTCTCTGTAGGTGAATCAGCAGATGAGCTTTGGTCACTTGAAACAAGACCTGAAGAGCAAGTTCACTAAACTGCAGGACCACAGACTGACCATAGTGGTTGGCAAGAGGATACCCCTGGACATCATAACTCTGGAGATGCTGAAAGTAGTTCGAGATGGACTCACTGTGTATGTTCTGGCCAGTGACAAGAATATTCACAAGAGCCGAATGAGTGTGAGCCGACAGTACAAAGTGCAGAAAGAGATATTCATTCAGAACGTGGACAACCAGCAGGCATTGGAGATGTTGGAGAAAATTGAGGTGAGATTGGTAGAAGGGCTATCTCAGGTTGAAATCTCAGATTCCCTTGGGCTCTTATAGGCTCCAAGTTTTAAAGTGGCGTTGTTCGTTTGTTTTGTATGTGTATGACTTTGTAAATAATTTTCTGTTTCAGAAAAAATGAAGTTGGCAATCGACCTAAATTAGTTGAAGAAATTCTTTTGGAATTGTGCTCGTTTTTTGTCATTTGTATTACTTCGTTAATGTGAGTGATTTGATATCTATCTCATGTTTTCTGTCTGCAGGGTCTGATCTCTCAGAAGAATATATTTGATCTGGTGGCGCTGATTGACGCTTTCAAGGACAGAATAGAGGGGGGAGTGTTGGACGAGGGACCCGCTGCCCTTCCCCCCGTCCTGCCCCGCCTGATAGTACATGTAGAGGATATTGAGCAACAGAGAGGCACTTTTGTAATACCACGAGTGCTATGGAGTAAGTGGAAAGTTTGTTTACTCCGGCGGCGAGAGCAAGTGTCTTGTAATCGAGAACTGGACTTTTCCCCCGTAAACAACTTTTCTTACTTATCTTACATGATTTTCTTACCACCTTTATTATTGAACCTTACCAACTTCCAGGCTCGATCCACTTGGGCTAGAGGCAACGTGGTCACCTTTTTACCCTAAGGTATTGGTCTTGTTTTTTTTCAGTATGTGTAAAATTGAGAGGGGGTTTCAAAATTGTCAAGGGGGCTTCAAAGTATCAGTCTGGGTGGGATCCGCTACTTCTGATCAATTCTGATAAAGGTAAAATAATGGTAGTCAGGGATGGATCTAGGCTTTTTCAGAGGAGGTGGAGGATAGGGCAACTAGAAAGATTTTCTGAAAATTTTGTCGACTTTTCTTAGGTAGATCAAAATGATATTTTGAGTTCTCCCAAGGTACATTAAATTGATAGCGCCGCTGGCGACTTTTTGAAGAAAAAAAAACAGGCTAAAAAAGGCGTTTGTAGGCAGTTTTTGTACGTCTATTTGCAGCACTTTCTTGAGAACTACTTAAAACTTCAATTGAATTATATTGATTTAAATTTTATATTGCGAAAATATTAGTGCCGGAATGTCGATAGAAAAAAATCCAGTATTTTTTACCAGAAAATAATAACTGAAAGATATCTATTTTTACTGATGGCTATTGATTGTAGAAATTCAGTTTGGGGCCTGGATTGGCGAGAGAACATCTAATTTTTGAAATAGTTTGTGAGCAAACGGAACTTCAAATATTCAAATGTTTAGGCATCCTCTACATCGAATGTTATCTAATTTTGATGACCTCTGTTGGTTCTATTTTGTGTTCTTATTGCAGGTTTGAACATACTATTCAGCTTAAAATCTACAGGTGTAGAAGCTGTAAACTATATTCTAATTATCTTCTGCCTAAAAAGAGACTTGTGCTTTTTTTTAATTAGCGTCTCGAATCTGTCGACTGAAGAGCGAAATAGAGTGCCGTTACTCGATTCCCTCGCAGTTGCAGCGCTGGTTTCTCAACAACGACATTCACGATGACCAGAAGAGACTGTGTGATGTGTTTGCGGATGAAGACAGAATGAAGAGCGAGATGAAAGTGCACCTCTATCTGGTCACCCCGGAGACTGCTGGATTTACGGCCGCTTACATCCAGCAACTGTACGAGCAACTCACCAAACAGATGACTCAAAAAGGTAAAGAGAGTTGCAAAACTTAGGGCTGACAGTACTAATTAGGAAAAACAATCTTAGCATTTCGAGAGAGATTTTTTGGTTGATAGATCTAAGTCTTTAAATTCTGATTTTTTTTCTATTCTTTTTCCGGTTTTCGTAGAAGGCAACGTAATATTTGTCCTGTAAATGGTTTTTTATCCAGTCAAAATCTGTTTTTTTTCTAATTCAAAACAGATTTGTTTCATTTGCGATACTTTTTTGTGAAGCTATAAGGGTTCAAAGTCTGGTCAATTTGGGATATTTTTCGCGTGGTTATGCAACTCGTAATTTATTAATTATCAAAGCTAATGATTGATCTTAAGTGAATTGAGGCGATGTATTTGATCTTTTTAATGCGTTTATTGGCGCACATTTTTTCCATTTGTATTTATTTTGCAAAAACTTATCAAAAAAGTGCTCTTTGTAAGTTTTTTTTAGTTATAAACTACTTCAGATACATGCAGTCGGTAGTCCGAACATTGAAGCAGTCGGAACGAAGGCTTTGAGCTGATCCTAGCAAAAATGTTTGGTTCAAACTATAACACAAGCCAGCTAGCGGGCGTTGTGTTTTATCATTAATCATTTTTTTTTCAACCAAAATTGCAAATTAAAATGACTCGCTTAGTGGCCATTTTGTAAGTTTCCAAGCATTGGCAGTTTGATAGCATCTGCAGCTGTTTTATTGTTGGCTTGTGCTATTCAAGCATTGGCAGTTTTATAGCATCTGCAGCTGCTTTTTTGTTGTGCTTCTGCTTGTATAATTAAAAGCGACTGTGGTGCAGATGCTAGGACGTGAGGCTCCCAATTTCAAGTTTGGAGGTTTCATTTTGGGACAAAGCTAATAATTTATTTCTTAGGGTTTTTTAAATTTTCTCAAATGTTTTTTATTTGAGTTTTCTCCTTTTTTCTCTTCTTTTTACCGTGTTCTCGATTGTTTCTGCGAAGTGCAGATTTGCCTCTGTGCAAAATTTATTTTTCTTTTCAACATATGAGAGGTTCAAAAGATTTGAGATAGAATATCTTCTAACTGGACCAGCTAGTTTTCTGCAATCATGAGATCAGTTTTAAAGATAAACCAATGATTTTACAACATGTTATACCAAAAGCTATTTCATTTGAGCTCAGGCAGTTAGTGTGTCCAGCAAACCGGTTGCTGAATAAAAAAATTTGCAGGGACAAAATTGTGAAAAGAATGTACTAGCTGATTTCTGTTCATTTAGCTGAAAAGGTTTGACAGCCTACTTTGATCGAATATTTTAAATGGAAGTTCATAATTTTTCACGACTAGTCGATGCCTACTTTGATCATGAAGTTCGAAATATGTTCATTGTTTTTCCGCTGTTGTTCCGAAGTGTTTTAAAAAAGGTAATTTTAGATCGGTTGTATTCATGTAGGATCCGCTTTTTTCATCTCAAGCACGCATAATTCAGTATTAAGTTAATTTGTACATTGTTTTTTGGATGTTTTTAGCGTGAAATACTTTTATAACGATACAGTGCTGATTGAAATTATCCGAACAAAACTTGAATTTTCAAACGCGTTTTTCTCAAATTGGGTTAAGATTAGACAAAAAGTGAAGAGAACAAAAGTTGCTTAGAATTTCATCTAAATTATTATGGTGCATTTTTTTCTCCGAAATTCTCAACCAAAATTTTATCCCAAAAAATGGGTCATTTTGGCTTTTTTCAATTAATCAAGAATTACACTGAAACTACTTTGTTAATTGATGAGAAAGTTATATCACAAGAAGCCTCCTACATAGCCCAATAAAGTTTAAGAAGGGTTAAATCTCCAAAAAGTTGCGCAAATTGTTCAAAATTTGTTTTTAAACGGATATTCTGGGTCTTATATAGTAAAAATCACATTTATTGAATATCAAGTAAAAACTTTTTCTTTTATACTGGTTTTTGGAGATTTAACCCTTCTTAAACTTTATTGGGCTATGTAGGATGTTTCTTCTGATATAACTTTCTCATCAATTAACAAAGTAGTTTCAGTGTAATTCTTGATTAATTGAAAAAAGCTAAAATGACCCATTTTTGGGATAAAATTTTGGTTGAGAATTTCGGAGAAAAAAATGCACCATATTAATTTTGATGAAATTCTAAGCAACTTTTATTCTGTTCACTTTTTGTCTAATCTTAACCCAATTTGAGAAAAACGCCTTTGAAAATTCAAGTATATTGTGACATAACGTATATATGGCACTGTATATTGTGACATAACGTATATCGATTTTAATTTCAGATTTCCCAGGGGAATAAAAATTTTTACATTTTGGTCCAGTTTTCTCAAATGGGGTTGATTTTATGCTGAGTCGAGAATGGTTTTGCTTTTCCTACGCTTAATTACTCTCGAGTCGTATTTTCACATATTCTAAGAGCCAGAGTTTGTTGCTTGTGTTTCCTTTTACCAACTTTGGAAAAGATTTTGTGTTAGCTATGGTTTTTACTATTGCTAAGTCAAACCGAGTGATATCGTTTTGAACCCCTTTTCCAAAAATCTGTTTTTATTTCGCAAAATTTTAATTTGAGGTCCCACCATTTGCACTGCAGAAGGCGACCATCATCTAAACGATTAAAGAGTGTAAAGTTTTGTTTAATAAACATTTGTATGCTTAATCGGAAAAGCGGTTGTGCAAGCAGCACAGAATGTTCAGATCACACCGATTGAAAAAAAGAGCACAAAAAAATCAATCAGGTTTTTTTTTCATTTGCCCAAATTTTATTTAATAATCGTGTTAAAGAACGAAGTAATAGATAATTATAAGGTGATGATTTTATGGTGATGATTTTTCTGTGATGATTTTCAGGATAAACTTTTAAATTTTGAAAAAGTCTAGTTTCAAAAATGTACCCTATTTTTCTGAATTCTCAGAGGAATGAAAAAGTTACCCTTTGATTTAGTTGTCTTTGAACGGGATAAGTTTAAGAAAGACTGCTAATCGTAAACAATTTTTGAAATTCAAAGAGGTTTAACGCGATGTGTTTTTTATTCTTAAGAAGTTTGAAATTTTTTTTAAAAAAAATTTCAATCAACTTTATTCGGTTTCCTTGTTCTTTACACTTTTTGATCCGATTTTCGAAGAATGTGAGGAATTTATATGCTCGGGGTGGTTTTTTATTCGGACCAATTTCATTTATCTTTTTGCGCCATTGGGGTATCGATCCCTTGATCTGCATCGGCCCAGTCGTGTGTACACCGCACTAAACTGCTCGTTTTGTTTTTCATACGTGGCAAATTATCCCCTTATACAGAATCGTTTCAAATTGAAAAGAGGCAAAATATGCTTTTTGGTCTCAATAATTTCATAAACGACTATAATTTAAACTCACACTTTATATTGTCAGCCTAATTTTCATAATTTTGCCAATTTTCAATTTAAAAAAAAAAGTTTTGGAGATCAATTTTATGGCAGTCGGAACATTCACGGGTTTGACCTGATACGTGCAGTCTTTTCCACATATATGTTGGCTATATTTTAGATAACGCGATTGAATTAGTTTAAAAAATGCACAAACGTAAATTTGGAGGCCAGTCTCTAATCAAATTTCTGTCGGCCTTTATCTAATTTAGTCTGAAATACGAAAAATAATCTGACCATTTTTTTCTACACTACGCTATGTTTTACAGGGAGATGCTATGGGTAGATAACCAAATTGCCAGAAAAAATAACAGGCCAAAGTTCCTTCCAACTTCTAGGGATGGTGGGTGGGACAATAATAAAGCTGTTTATTACTAGGTCTTGAAGCTTAAGTTCGTGCCCTTTCTCTCGTTAAAAAGAAGAAAAAGCATACAAAAGGCAACCGGTTATCGTTGAAATTTTTTCATACGAAATTTTTTGGGATTGTGATGCTCTTTCTCCGCACATGGCAGACAAATAGTTGGCCGGCGAATAATTTATAATCCTGAGAAAAAAGCTACTGTGAACCCGTTTTTATTCAGTGTAAAAAATATATAAAAGCACAAATCTGAGAAGCTATTGAAATGGAAATAATGAATGAGAACCTCTTTGATACAGCTGCCGGCAACCGAGACAGGGAGGAGACGCTATCTGAAGATAGTGACCTTGATGACAGTTCTGAGGGCGAAGGGGAAGCTGATACGACTGCTTCAGTTAACCATCCGGCGCGTCAACAAGTGCGCTTTCTTGATGGCCAAACAGACGGGGAGGAGTATGAGTACATTCTTGATGACCATTCAACTCGCAGTGAGTCTCTAATGAGCATGTCAACAATTGGAGAGTCTATTGTGGGCAAGTACTAATCTTTGGGAGTGCGGTCAAAATGGACGTTGCTAAAGCAGACACGACGTAAGCCAATCAGAATCGTGATACAAACAAACGTACGGAGTATGTTTTTTTTTCACTATTCTGATTGTCTTGCGACGTGTCTGCTCGATGACACTACTTTTTGCTACGTTACCCAATCTTTCGAAGGCTACTGTTTTCCCACATGACTAAGAATAAGATTTATCAGCTCCTCTAACATGAATATCAATTATAATGGGGTTTGGGTGAAAAGTGTTGGGAATTCTTGGGCCGCTGGTTTTAAAAATTGACGCCTGTGTTTAATGTATGATAAAATTGTTTTTATCATTTTGAAAAACTTCTAGTCCTTGAAAAATTGCATTGCGTTGTTTGGTGATTAGCTGTTTGATTGGTAATTATTAATGATGATTAGCACTCATATGCCAGAGTTGATTAAGATTCTAGTTCCCCCTTTTATTTTCGTTATGTAAAAACGTCATTTCTTTGGGTTTTGGTAGTTGCTTCAAGATGTTTAACTTTGACGTTTAATTTAAATGTTGGAAAACAGATATGAGAAACTAATAGAATGCAAACTTTCAAGACTAATTGTTCATCGTATCAATAATAATAGTTTTTCGTAGTCGAAAATGGAGATTTAATTATTGAATTGAATTATTTAGTGAGAAAATATACGTATATAATATTTAACTCACAAGGATCGCACACGAGCCCTGAGTCTCACCAAAGCAAGACCCTAGAAAACCAAACACACGGGGTTCCATATACTAACAATTATGAAAAAATGATTTCATGTAAATCGGAATTATCTATCAGAAAACAGTTCTTAATTGTATGCCTGTATTTATCAATTTCGCTTGTCTTTAATTGTTTTATGCTGTCAGGTAGCAGTTTGATTGAGGATTATCTTGTTTGAGCAGTTTGTTTGAGGATTATCTCTGAGTGTCAATTAGTGCCTGTGTCAATGATTGTTATTTTGATTATATGACTATTTTGTTTTAGCCCCTCTGATGGCCAGAGAGTCTCACAGGTAAGCTTAATTTTTTTTTGTTTGGGAACGGATGCTGGCTGCTTTAAACAGTTGAACAAAATGTTCATGAGAACTAGTCTGAAAGTTGAATTAATTTGAAAACATAATCGGGAACTAGACTTTTTCCAGTGAACTTGGCTTTTTCTTGCAGCTGTCAGAAATTGAGTATTTTTATAAAGAATAATCTATTTGTTTTGTTCAGCTAGTAACTTGGTGCATTGGTATATTGATGTCGAGCTTGGTCGATCAATATGTCAAGAATCAGTTGATGAGAACTTCAATTTCAGAGCTTTAGTTCCCAATTTAGTCTCACTGAGTCAAAATCAAAAGTAATTCACGCTTATCAAAAATTCGAGACAATAATTTTACCGCGTTTATGTTAGAATCGAATTAAATATGGCGGCAGAAATTGATGATCCTCAACATGGTAATAGGTTACAAGAAGCTACAAAAGTCAAGAGTTCGAAAAAATGTTCTTTATGCTAACTGTAAAAATTCTGCCGTCAGTAAATCATGTTTCGGACTATCGAATGTATGTCTGCATATTGTTTTTCGCAGTACGAACTGTAAAATTTAGCATTTTTTTTGCTATTTCAGAACGCATTTTTATATTTTTAAGATTGAACGTGAGTACTCTTATATACGTCTTGTTGATTTTTTTTTCACGCTAACTTTGATTTTTCGCGGTTTGACTTGTGATTTGTTTTTAAGTTCATGCATTTCTATTGTTAAAAGGAAGGCAAACTCCACTATCGAACAGCAAAATTGGAAAGGTCACGAAAAACGTGATCGGCTTCTAATTTCGAAAATGGAAATTAATTATCAGATTTCCCAGCGAAATAAAAGCTTTACCTATTGATCGAGTTTTCTCAAATTGGGCTGATTTTAAAAAAAAGTGTCCATCATAAATTGTTCAACAATTTTAAAGCTGTAATGCCATCTATTTTTTTCTTCGAAATTCAAAAGTTGAAGATTTCATCTATCTTTTTGTTTTCCTTGTGGCCATAAAAAAGCAATTATTGGAATCTTGATTGTATTCAACCTTTCGATTAGTAAGTGTAACTTCACAATTGGCATAATTCTCAGATGACATAAAATTGAAATTTTCCCAAATGGCATAATTTTCAATGCTTTATGAAGACTCAAAGGCCTTTTATCAATTAGTTTTTCTCGTTTTTATCAGAAAGTTAGCATGTGAGTGGAATTTGGAAATATAAGCTTCTAAACAATTGTTGGAAGAGAATTTTGCGGGAAAAATTGATCATAATAAACTAATTAGTAATAGCAAACTTGTGGTTTTGAGTTTAAAATTTCCGGATCATTGGTTCAATCTCCCCACCAAAGTGGCCTGTCGTTAAATGTCCTCCCCAAGCTTGTATTAATTTGAATATTAATTCTGTAGAAAATATTTGCATTTCATACAAGCGCACAAAATGTAAGTATTTTGAAACTTCATTCAATTTGTATTTTGATGGGCTACAAAATTATCTAAATTGACATTTTAATTATATTTCGATAATTTAAATCTGGTATGTAGGTGATATAAATTACTCTTTGAAGTTATCCTGTGAAAAACTTGTATTTTCTCCCCCCGAAATTGATTTGGGGTGAGACTAAATTGTACTGTTGATGCTTTTTTTTCAAGCTAAAATGTCAATAAACAATTGAATTGACAACTTTATTAATTTTTACACTTTGTCTCAATTTTTTTTCAACGCAACTGCTGCATAGAGTTTTTACCATTTAGGAAACTTTTCATTTTTATGCCATTTTGGAATTATGCCATTTGAGATTTTATCTTAGTAAGGGTATTGTAACCAGATTTGACCTTTTTTTCCGTTGAAAGTTTTATTCGTTAATTATCATGTTCAATTGCTGACACCTGCAAGTTCTGATTTACTGGATTTTTTGAAATAGGCTACGAGGTCCCTGTTGTGTGCTATTAAGTTTTTCAATTGAACACTAGTTATAATAAGTTTTGAATCCGAGTGGTTTTAGTTTCAATTTTAAGCGTCTTAGTTTCTGTTTTTAAAAACCGAGTTGGTGATTCATATTGCTTTCTAAACAAGTTTTTGAAGGAAGTGTCTAATTGAAACAAAAATTTATTCTTTGTCTTAGTTTTTGATATTCTGATTTCTTGAATGGCATTTGGAATGGTCAGGTCAGACTTATTTCTGTTGAGACTACGTCGAACAAAAAGTTGTCAAATTCTTGTTTTTAGACAAGCTGTTCTCGGCTAAAATTAGACTGTTGCCCGTCATTGGAAGGTGTTCGTTGTGTTTTGTGCTTTTTCTTTGCTAGTTATGTGTCTATTGCGGCCTCAATGTTTTTATCATTTCAGAAGATTGTATTTTGATTACTGCGGTTTTTGAAATATATTTGGTGCTGTTTTATAATTTGCTTCCAATGGTGTAACATGTTTTTTTTTGTGCGTGAAAACATTGGCGAAGCAGAAGTACATGTAGCTTCCGGCCTAGCGTGTGTGGGTTAACGCAAGCTAATTAAAAATCTAAGGGCGAACACCAAAGTTGTTGCGGTACTACTGCGCAGCTCATCGGTGATAACAAGAGAGATTTTTTTCAGAATATTTCTGGCAATAGATTTTGGAGTTTTCTATTATAAATTTTTTTAGTCTTCGAAGCAGAGTGTATTAGAACGAAGTTTTTTTTCAATCGCAAATAAAAGTGCTGATTTTGGCGGTGCTTTTGAATCGGTAGGCTGCTGGTAGCAGTATAATATCATATTTGATTTGATAAGTAAAAAGTCAGATTGTCATTTGGTTAGTAAAAAGTTAACACAGCTGATGCATTTTTAATTCATCAAATGAACCGAAACAATTCATTTGTTTTAAACAGCAGTACAATGATGAAAAGCTCGACTTCAGAATTTTTTTTTGAAATGCATAATTTAAACATAATTTGGCTTGATGTTTTCCAATTTATTACATGCAATTTGGTCTTTTTGTATTTGGCGCTACTTTTGCAGCATCGAATTGGCAATTCATTAGCATATGTAGCCGCGTTGTTGGTGGCGAATTTTGGGGATTGTAAGCATCCGTGGCTGAGTGGTTAGTTCGTGAGACTGAAATTTGCTAGGTCGCAGATTCGAATCCGACACACTAATTCGAAGCTTATTTCTACTTTTTCTTATTTGACATGATAGAGATGCTTTTTTCGTAAACTCGCAATTGTTTGCGAAACGCAGCTTTGCCTCTGTGTTCAACTATATTTTTGTAAACTTATCTTTTTATTTGTGCTCCCAGCGAGCGTAATCAAGTCGTTTTTTCAGCTGAACAAGTTTTTTTTAACAGAATCACTGGATGCTCCATTTCTGGAAACTTCTAATCGAAATTTTTACCTCGACAACCAGTTTGTTGTAGGTTTAACGGTAATCTACCCGAGAAATCTCGACTTAGTTAACCGTCGATTTAATTTCGCGTGTTTATCTAACGCTGGCAATTGTTTTTTTTGGCTTGTTTTCTTCCTATTGAACGTTATTTTAATTTAATTATAAGTATCGGCAGATGTTTTTTGTCGATTTTTCAAAATACTTTTTCGATTCTGGTTTGCGTCTGGTTTTTTGTCGGCTATATTGCCATGCTATAATTAAGATGAATCGCCAGTGGTGTGAAGATCTGATGCGCCTTTGTATTAAAAGTTTTTCGGTTTCATGGTTCCAACTGAAATTGTCGGCTTTGTATCCAAATATTATACTTGTATTAATATGTTTCAGGTTAAATCCATTTGTTTTACCAATGTATTTTTTTGCTTTTGGTCGGTTTCAATCTTTCTGTAAATTTCATATTACTTTCGAACTTTAATTTTTTTTTAATATAGTCAGTAGTTTTTGTGGTTATCTCGAGTTTTTCAATTGTCTGTTGACTACGTGTCAACCACTTTCATAAAAAGAGTTTAGAAGAAAATACATTTTTCAAAATCCAGTTGATGTTCCACAACCATTGAAAATGGGGACGAACTTTGTATTCGGGTGTGTTCTATTTTTCTTTCTTTCTGTTTTCTACGCAAATTCAGGTACTGCAGATAAACATTGCAATGGTTTGAGTGATATATCATATTAAAGCCCTTCCAGTCCTGATTCGAACGACTTGAAAAATTTTGAAGTTTTTTTCACAGTGTCGAGAAGAACCGGTTTGAAATTTTTGATTTTTGGTTTATTTTCGTGCTAATAAGGTGATCGTGTATGCTTAGAATGGCTTATTTAAGCCGTGAAAACTTAATTTTACTCAAGTAAAGGTATTTTTTGGAGTTTTTCAGCGCAATTTTGGTTATCAAAAACTTGAAAATTCAAAAAAAATTTCAAGTTTTTTTAAGTTTTTTTCTAGTCATTTTTCTTCAAAAACTGTTTTCCAATTAACCTGTTTTAATATGACTATATGCCTACATTCTATTTTTTCGTTCCGTTCTTTTTATCTCAACATGCAGACAAAAAACCAATTTGAGAAAACGTTTGTGGTATTTTTAAGACTGTGGTCGGAATGTTCTGTGCTACTTGCTTAGTAACCGGCTATTCTTGTTTTTTTTTGTGCGTGATGTGATAAAATGAACTCGACGAAAGCTTAGAACTCTCGTAGATTTGACATTAATGACAAAAAGTATCGAAAACTGCATGACATGAAAAAATAAAAATATAATTATTTGCTTGGACTTTCTTAAATGCCAACGAAGCGCTAAATGAACCTTCGAAAACAGTTTGCCTCGAGCAAAAGTTAGTTTCCTATAGTAAGTAACCGATGGAGCCGAAAGGAGAGAAGGAGCTGAAAGTTTAATACCGGGTTTTGTTGGTTCAAATCCTCAATAGATAAATGTTTAGTGTGCCCATGGGACTATCCAGTGGGGCTGCAGTTGGAGGGGTGAGGAGTCGAACCGCCGCCGTCAATGGGAACATTACTCCTATTCCCATGCCGCGTCGCTTGAAGCCCGTTGCAGAGGCTTTCACGGGACCACAGGATAGGGTGCAAGTCACTTGGAAATGCTCAGTGTGTTCTGTGGCCACAAATCGGCCCTTCTTCAAAGTATGCGAGGTTCGGAACTAAAAGTCACAATACATTAAAATTAAATGTTACGAATAATTAATTGGTTTCAAGTGAGCTTACACGAATTAATGTAAAGGTTTATAGTTCTCCTGCATCATTTGAGAGAGCGCCGTTAGAGTATTCTCTTGCCTGTTCTCAGGCGTCTCAACTTCAAAACAAATTACTATGTATAATGGTAAATTTTTTGCAATTATAAGAGTTTTTCGTTTTTACCAAACATGTATGTTGGCCTATTCTGTGAAAAATTGTCTGGTCAGTCAGTGCTCTTACACCTACGGTGTTGACTTGAAAGCAAATGATTGTAAAAAGCACCCGTTTTTTATTGAATGTTTCAAATTTTTCTTTAATAGTTTCAAAGTTTTTTTTAATAGTTTCAAACTGAAACAAGGATAGCCGGTTACTGTGCAAGTAGAACAGAATGTTCCGACCATAGTCTTGCTAAAATAGAAACGTTTTTTCAGCAAAAATACAGTTTTACAACAAAAAATACAACATAACAAAAAAAATTTCGGCTTGTTGTGATCAAAGGAGCTGAACAAAAAAACTGGGGATTAGATATATTCGACAGCCATACTAAAATAAGCAAATTGAAAAACAATTTTTTGTAGAAAACTTAAATATGAAAAAAAATCAAAAGAAGTCTTTTTGAAATTTCTTAATGTGGTTCGAATCACGACTGTAAGGGCTTTAATATGATATATCGCTTAACCCAGTCCAATCATTATTTGTAGTACCTGATTTTGCGTGGAAAAATAAAAAGAAAAAACTAAAACACACCCGAATACAAAGTTCCTCCCCATTTTCAATGGTCGGAACAATAATGTTAGGCTGGCAATCATTAGCAACTTTAAATTGAAGGGATTGGACCCGACCCGGTCAGGGATTCGTTGTACCTGACCACCCAAAGAGTCCCTCTTTGGTTCTATCTAACGGCGTCCGTTTTAATGAGTCGATGAAAATGGTGAGACTCTTATATTAGTCGTGAGTTTTTAGTCGTTTTTTTAGGAACAGTCTTGAAGTTTTTTCCCACTAAAATTGTCTTTTTGTGGTTTGACTTTTGATTTATTCATTCAGTTCATTTCTTTTAATAAGGATTTAAATTTTTTTTGAAATCTGAAGAGCTTCACAATGATTGATTAGTTTTTTGTTTCAAAACCAAAAATTACATTTTTTCTAATTTAATGTTTTGTCAGGTGTGTGGTGTGGGCATCCAACCGGAAGACTTCTCCATCCCAGATTGGTACGAGGCAGACGAGGATGAGATGAGGAAATTGGCTGAGGAGAGACACAACCAACTTCTCACTGAACAGATGCTCAAGTTAGAAAAACAACAGAATCAGTCGATCAACCAAGTTATGAACCCGTTCGCAGCCTCTACTAACAACTAATTTATGAAGCGATGTTAAGTTAATACCAAATTGTTGGCGTTCTCGTTTTTGTTTTCTGAATTTGAACGAGGCAAGTTTTTTTTAAAAAAATCCCGAACACATTTAGTCACCGCAGAGCCTCATGTATGACTTCAAGTTTGGCTCGCTACCTCAGCGTAGCAAAATCTGCCGCAAAAAGTCACCCCATTAAATTAATGGTATAAAAATGCTTTTTAAATTTTCCCCATAGTTTTAATGCTTTTTATACCATTAATTCAATGGTGACTTTTTTGGTAGATTTTGCTTTTTAACTTTAAGTACACATAGTTTGGGAAAACAATAATCAGCTAAGACACAAAGGAGCACCAAACAAAAAAATAACGAAATTCAGTCTAGAAAATTGACTATGTTTTCCGGGCAATTAAACATTACAACAACAAAAACAACCTTAACTCTTGGTAGCATAGCGCTCGAATTTGTTGTGTGCAGTTGTCTTTCAAGTTTTTTTTTCACATCGTTTTACCGTTTTTTTGTTGCTTGTTTTTGAAGGGCTGCTTCGTTTCTGCGCTAATGTTTTTGTCTGTTTAGAACTTACTTTGTTTTTTTTTATAGACGTGACCATGTAGTGAAGGTCACTTTTTGATAGTGACTGTCTTTGAAAATCTTATTTGATTGGATAAGACTTCTTTGGAATAGCTAGTTAAGCTTCTTATACGTTGAAATTAGTCAAGGGAGTAAAAATTAGACGTTATGGTCGTCGTTTCAATTCTTGATACAAAACGAAATTGCCAACAATGAAGTTTTAATCATAAGAGGATAGCCGTAAGCCAACTAGCCTGAAGTTTTTTCAAAAAAATTAAAAGTGAAGCTAGTCTGAAAGTGAGTGCTTCGAATGCAAGTTGAGTGACTTAATTTCTTAGAACCTAGTTGAAAATCATTGATTATTTATTTTGATTGATTCCCATTGTTTTAATTACTTGGAGCTGAATGGACATCTTTTGGATCTTTTATAACATGTGAACGATTTTTGGTTTTTGCACTTATTATTCGAGCAAGAAAATATATTTCGGTTCTGAAATAGCAAACAATCTGGATCCAAATTATGCCTAGAAATTTGAAAATGTAATTTATTTAGTTATAATTCCATGCATCATCACCCTAATGCTAGATGAAGAACCGAATTATATTTTCTGTGAACTGTTTTTTTTAATCAGAACGTACTGAAAAAGAAACGGGCGAGCTTCGTGATGTGGAAAAAAATTGCAACATTTTTGCTAAGCTCAATGAGTAATGCAGTCGAGCAATAATTTCGTTCAATTTTTTAGCGCTAAATCTCAAATGCAGAAAATTAGTCGTCGCTGTGATTTTCATAAATGGATTCAGGAGTAAAAATCCAGTAGAAAAAGTTTTTAAGAGTAATGAACGGAGTGAAGACTCTTATATAGGTCTTGCTGTTTTTTTTGTTTTTTTTCCAAGAAAAAGTCTTGAAAAGTTGATGCACCTAGGTATATATGCACTTTTTGAGTTCAATTGAAATTCATCTCCTGAAAGTGACGTAAATAGCACTCTCCAATACGAACGTGCAAATGGCGCGAAAGAGCTGTAGCCTCTGATTCAGCTGTAGATTTTGCAACAGTAGTTTGGAGTTTGCTAGCCCACGATATTGCACCGCTGTTTTCAAACAGGAAAAAGCAATATCCACTAGTACTGCGTCTAGTGTCACTGTCACCTCCCCAATCAGAATCAGAATAGCCATACAAGATTGGCGTAGCAGTACATCGTCTGTAGATAAGTTTATACGATCTAGTTCCTTTCAAATATCGTAGAACTCGTTTTGCAGCAATCCAGTGTACTTCAGTAGGGTCGTTCACATATCTACTCAAGCAATGAGCGATGAATGAAATATCAGGCCTTGTAGTAATTGACAAGTAACTTAGACTGCCGATAAGTCCTCTATAATCTTTGTCGTTTGCTAATTTCACCTCATTTGGTAGCCGTTTACAAAGTTTTAAACCATCAGCTGCAGGTGTAGACACTGGTTTACACTCAATCAAACCAAATTTTGACAGTAGCTTGTCAATATACGCTTCCTGAGAAATTTCTAACCCATCCCCACAAAAGTTGAATTTCATCCCCAAAAACCAATAAAGTTTTGCTGTTTCGCTGATTTTGAATTGACTAGATATTTGTTGTTCAAATGATATAAACTTGTTAGCATCATTGCAAGCGTAAATTATATCATCCACCCAAATGCATACGTATTCCAAAACATCTTTTGAAATTCTCATGAAAAGACAGGGATCACTTTTTGACGCTGTAAAATCTATTGACTTAAGGAACATCTGTAAGGTATAGTACCAATTTCTTCCTGACTGCTTTAATCCATAAATAGATTTATTTAGCTTACAAACAAGTTGATTACCCCCCACTGTCTTTCTGCTCAAAACCTTCAGGTTGTTGCAGGAAGACATTCTCTTCCAAATTAGCGTTTAGATAGGCTGTTTTTACGTCCCATTGTCTTACATCAAAACCCTTAGCTGTTGAAATTGCTAAAATAAGTCGTAATGTTGCCATTTTTACTGTAGGACAAAAGGTTTCCTTGAAATCAACGCCTTTGATTTGATTGTAGCCTTTAGCCACATATCTTGCCTTGTATCTTGAAATTCCCCCCTCATTATTGTATTTCAAAGTAAAATGCCACCTTCCCCCCAAAATAGTTTGATCCGTTTGTGGAACTAATTCCCAGACATTATTGTTGATCAGAGAATTATATTCATCCTGCATTGCTTTTTTCCAATTGGGGTCAGAAAGTGCATCGTTAGCATTTTTTGGCAAATTATCAACATAAAAAGTTGCATCAGCTAGCCAACACTCATCAAAAATTGTCTCATTTCTAAAAAATGAAATCTCAGGCGCATTTAATTGTTTGATCCGTTCGCTGCGGCGTAATTGATCATTTTCAAGGTTTCCGCCATTGACATTATCCGCAGAATTTTTCTCAGAAATCTCAGAATAGTTTTCAACGCTTATTTCCAATTCCCGTCCAGAATCATTTTCATCGTCATTTTTGAAAGGAAAAACTTTTTCATCAAAAGTAACATTTCGACTCTCCAAAAATTCAAAGTTTCCATCAAGCTCAGTTCCTACTATATAACATTTACTGTTCAGACTATATCCAAGCAGAAATCCTTTCACGGCCCTTGAATCAAGTTTTTTCATGTTTACTTTTTCGACAAACATATATGCAGCACAACCAAAAATTTTTACGTGTTTCAAATCAGGTTTGCTTTGGAAAAATTTTTCGTATGGGGTTACCCCAATTGCAGAATGATAAACTCGGTTTTTCAAGTAGAAAGCTGTTTTCAATGCAAAAGACCAAAATTTCTTTTCCATGCTGGCAGTTTGTAAAAGACATCTAGTTATTGCCATTACACTACCCCAAGTTCGCTCTATTTTACCATTTTCCTCTGGTGTATAAGGCGCAGAAAATTCAGTTCTTATGGCATTATCAAGACAAAACTGTTTAAACTTTCCAAATTTGAACTCTTTTGGATTATCACTAGCTATTGTTTTTGGTTTACCATAATCCGCTATGAACTGTTTGAGCATCTGAGTGCTATCACTTTTATTTTTCAATAAGTAAACCGCAGAAAATCTTGTGTAGGAATCAATAAAACCTATTGCGTACTTAAAATTGTCTACAGATATCGTATCAATTGGTCCCAAAATATCCGTATGAACAATTTCTAGTTTTTCTGTAGCTCTAGTCCCCCAAACTTTTGGTATCGCTTTCCGCTTAGCTTTTTCAGTTTGACAATCAACACAGTTATTATGTTTCTTTTGGCTAAATTTAACTCCCTCCGTTAGATTTTCTAATTTCTTGATGTCATCAAAATTATTATGACCAAGCCGTTTATGCCAAATTTCTATGTCCGAAACAACCATTGCAACATTTTCCACAGAGTGTTCATTTGCCAGTTCAATTTTCATTTTGAAAAGATCTCGTTGATTTTGAAGCAAAATTTCAGAACTATCTGGTAAAATTATTCTGGGACAAACATCATCAAACATTACATCAGCTTTATTTCTGTTAAGTTTAGATACAGAAACTAAATTTGCCGTATACGTAGGTACAAACAGAGTATCTTTCAGTTCTATAGTTATCAATCGACCATCACTTGTTTGAACTTTAAACGTTACTTTTCCCTTTCCCACAATTTTTGAATTACTTCCATTTGCACAGCCAACATTTCCATTAATATTCGTATCAAGTTCCGTAAAAAATTCGCGTGTTTTAAACATATGCGCAGAGCAACCGCTATCAATCAAGCAAAATTTGTCGGAATTTACGCCAAAATCATTGTCATTAGAATGAAAACTGAAAAAGTCGACAGTGTTTTCGTTTTCTGAAGTAAAATGGCTTTTGTTTTGTTGATTTTTTGATGTAAACTGTTTTTGATGGCTGCTATTTGAATGGTTATTTTGGGTATTTTTCCTACAATCTCTAGCAAAATGTCCCATTTGATTGCAATTGTAGCATTTTATGTCTTTCTTGCAATCCTGTTTTCTATGACCTTGCTTTCCGCAACTGTAGCATTTAATAGTTTTATTACTAAAAAACGTTTCATTTGTTGAATTTTTCTGCAAAAAAGTCTTGCTTGTTTCGGCAAAATTTGACAAATCTCTTTTAATCTCGTCCAAGCTTTTTGCATCTTTCGAAAAATTCACCACAGTTGTAAAATTATCAAATTCTTTTGGTAGTCCTTTTAAAAGCATTGCAATCATCATTTTTTCAGAAATACCCTCTTCCGCTTCTTGTAGATTCATTTGCAAATTTTCCGATCTAAGTATGTAGTCCTTAATCGATTCGCTCGCCTCTAATTTCAAATTAGAAATTTCATTCAACATTCTTTCAACACGTGGTCGTTCCGTACTTTTAAAGTAGCTTTGCAGCCGATTCCATGCCGCTGAACCATCTGGTTTATCGCGTTTTATTAGCATTACAGACTTTCGATCAAGGCATTGTATTAATTCACACCACAATTGTTCTTTTCTATCATTAACATTAGTCTCATTTTCACTACTTCCTGGAACATCTGTTCCCTTCAACGTTTTCTTTAAATTCAAAAGAACTATACGAGCTTCAAATTGCTCAGCAAAATACTCCCAATCATTTTCATTTCCCGAAAAAGTCAATTTTTCCAATCTTGTTTGAATACTTCGTGCCATGGTTAAATGTCACTTCAAATTTCGAATTGTAAAACTTCTCTTTCAAAACTTCTCTTTTCTTTCAAAACTTCTATTTTCAAAGTTGTAATTCATACAACCAATTCTTTTCTTTCTCTTGAAATCCTATTCATACAAACCACCGTAGAATTTTACTCTCTGATGCTGTCAGGCGTAGAGTCTCAATTCTTCACGAAATCGCCCATAACCTCTTAGGGTCCATAAATTGAAATAGCAGCGAAAGATTTAATTGAATGAATTAGTTTCCCATTTTTAGTATCAAGAGATTAAAGATCATGACTTCAGAGATTATTCACATCGGTATGAACGAATTATTACTTCAGATGAAAGTCAATTGGTTTTAATTAGACAGTGTGCTAAATATATATAATGCACAGTTGAAAGACTCTTACTCAAGTTGCACTATGAAACGTCTATCATTCGAGTGATTCAATAGCAAATCACTTTTTCCGTAATTCCAGTTACAATCAATAATTTCCATGGAACGGACTTCCTGTCGAGAAAATTTGGTTTGACGATCCGATTTGCACTGCCGGTTGCGCCAATCACTAAAACACGTAAAGTGACCAAAACAATTGAAGAAACAAAAGAAGTCAAGTCAATTATTGGTTTTTACAGATTTTAAAGCTTAACCAGGAAAATCGGTTGCCCGGTCAAGGAAAAAGCTAGAAGTTTATATAAAATCAAATCCATTTTCAAAATAGACTTATTTTCTGAATTTCCAGCGGAATAAAAAAATACCTATTGATTCAGTTGTCTCTAAATGGGTGAATTTAAAACAATAGTTTCCTACGCCAAAGCTCCTTAAGGTTTTAGTTTCTTTTCTAAGAAATTCGAAAGTTAAAAATAGCCCAAAAACTTTCTATCAACTTTTTCGGTCTCCTTGATTTCTGTACACTTTTCTGAATATATATTGGCTCTATCTGTAAAGGGCAATTGAACTAATTAAAAACTGCGTCAGTGAGTTGTAAATGATAGCCAATAAAACGTTAAAACTGTACTAGGTTGAAGTTTGGAGGTCAGTCTCTAATCAAATTCCTCTCAGTATTTATCTAATTTAACCTAAAAACGAGAGAAACAGATCATTTTCTCTCGACCTTGGGTTAAAATTTTCTGCAACTTTTCAGTGTCCAAATCTTGGCCTAAAGGGCTGAAAGGTGTAAGGTATTTAACCCTTAGATTTTTCTTTGAGGGAGTCAAACTTGGCTGAAAAAAAGCCTTGCGCTGAAGCTCTTTCTCACCTCTAGGGGTGCTCGGATCAAAAACAATGCTGTTAATAACTAGATCTTGAAAGTTATTTTCAAAAAATTTAAAGACAAATCACAAAAAATAAAGCTGAGGAGATTCAAACTTTTCTTTCAACTTATAAGATTTTCTTCCTGGAAAAAACGGACAAAAGTACTGCCTGAATAATTGCCTTCTTTTATTTCATTGACATTTTCATTATGCTATCCAGCACAACGGCGGATTGCGTGCGAAATATTGATTGACTTATAGTTTCTAAAGTGGATTTTGATTTGTAGGTTTCGCAGCGTATTGTAGAAGTTGAACGTTTTCTGATTTAAACGTTAAGCGTTTTTTTTTTGGAAATTCGATTAGCTAAGTTAAGACTTTAAATAAGGTTTAATGAGCTAAGGTAAGGAAAAAGCCACAAAAGTTGCTTACGTTCTAAATTTTTTCCTGGTTTCTATAGAGGTATTTTTTTAAAGTCCTTTTAAAGTTTATTCGCTAAAATCAAGACAACAATATGGTTCCACAACAATCATCACCATATCCGATTTTTGTTTATGGAGCTGTCCCTAAAGATCAGCTGAGATTTGGGGACAGATGAGGTTGGCAGCCCCAGACTCTGTCGAGTTGGAGCTCTCCATAACATACGGTCCTGCGGGTCAGTGTGGGTGAGGCAGCGTTCCTTTATCATTTTTCACTTAATCTAACCAAGTCTTTCTTGGTCTACCGCGTCTTTTGATTGAGGAGATCTTCATCTCACCGGCCATTTTGATACATGAAGCGGAGGTAGCTCGCTCAACGTGACTAAAGCATCTGAGGCGCCTGCCCCAAAGTACATTGATAATGTCACACAAGTAGAGTTAATCAAGAAGTGCACCTGATTCATGAACACCGGGCTTAACACCGCAGGTTCAACGGATCATTGCACGGTTTTTTCCTTGGAGTCGTTGATGATCTTACACTAGAAGAGTACACTTTTCCGCGTATTCTATATGAGATGTGCCGCGAAGTTAGTGTAGGGAGTAGTTTCCTGAATCTACACCAGGCTGAGCAACATCTGGCAGCAATTGCACTATCACAGCCCCCACACGCACAAGTCACCCATGTAGCAGAAAGTTGGCTCAACATTGAGAGTAGTGCCGCCTACATCAATCACGTTCGAAGGGCGAACGTCGATTGGCCGAGACAATCCAGTGCATCTGGGTCGAAATTTTCTGGCTTGACTACCAGTATTCCACAGCATTGATATTCCACAGCATTTCTTGTGAACCCACAACTTCGACTGAAAGCAAGCAATGGAGTTGCTTCCAAAACATTTACGACTGACAGCGCAAGGGTACTTCCCAGAGTCCTTAAGGAGATCAAGGCCGATGCCTGAGGTCAAGAAATTGAGATCAAGAAGCATTTTTGAATAAATCAGGAAAAGTCTTGAAATTTGTTCAGGCTCAAATATATTTTTTCGTTGTTTGACTTTTGATTTCTTTTCAAACTCAGTGCCTTTTTTTGTTAAAAGTAAGGCAAACTCCACAATCGAACAGCGAAAGTGAAAAGTTCACGAAAAACGTGATCGACTTCTAGTTTCGAAAATGGAATTTATTGTACAGGTTTCTCAGCGAAATAAAAATTTTACCTGGTGATCCAATTTTCTCAAATTAGGTTATTATTTTTAAAAAAAATTGCCAGTTGTAATTTATTGTAGAAATTCATAGAGCTTTAAGGGCATCTATTTTGAAAGTTAAGTTTTTCAAAATTTAAGTCAGCTTTTTCTGTTTTATCGCGTTCATTGACTTTTTTCAAATTGTGTTTTGGCTTTGTTTTTATTTTCTTGGTTAGTTTAATGAACGAAATCAATGGTTTTTCTACTTATTTTGTTTAATAGGAATTTTTTTTGAATTGTGTTTATTTGAATGCTTAAGGTTTTGATGGGCGGTTTTTTGCGGTATAAATTTGTAAATACGTGAGAGCGGTCATTTGGCTTTTCTTCAGTTTTGTCAAAATGGTGGAACCCAATTGATACTTCTTTCTAATTTTCAGTTTTGATGTTCTTTTTTTGAGTTTTTCTTCAGTTTTATCATTAATAGGATTTTTGGAATTCGCGTATTTGTTTGATCAAAAAATTTAAATAACAGGAACAAAATTTTTTGGCATTGGCTTGCGTTTTATTTAAGACATGAAATATGTACCTATGCTTAATTTTCACAATTTTTAGCTTATTGTTTATTATTCGTTTTTCTTTTTTTTTGAAGGAATGAGAAAAACATTGTGAACAATGAGCAGCTTGGCGATGCTGCTTTCCGAGCACAAATCCCAGCAAGAAAAAAGAAAGTAGGGTGGGTTTGTGAGGTGTGTTCTTTTGCGGAAAGCAGACCCTACTTCAGCTTTTGTGAAATGTGCGGGCAAGGTAAGTTAAAAGTCGGTTCTTCCTCATCATATAGAATTTCCAGGAATCATAGACCCGAAATTCTAACACTAACATAGGAGATCGTTTTTCGCTACTAGGCTGATAAAAATACTATTATGTGTCTATAATGAGTCAATAATGGAATAGATTCTAAAAAAGTAGTCTCTATGTATGCCATGTTTATCTTATAGTTCATTAATCCGTAACCATTGAAGCATCCGAAAACTTTTTTGGGTTGTGATTTCAACATCGCGGAAGATTGGCAACGATTTAAATTAAGCCCGTTTGAAGACATTGTTTAGCTTGTTTGGTTTTGTTGTAAAATGGTCTTAAACTTCGAGTTCTGAACCCCCAGCCCCCATCGACTTAATATGTAAAAAATAGACTTTTCGCTTCATGGCTATTTTTCTTTGAATTTCAGAGATTGAATATTGTTCCAATTTGCTGAGTCATTCATTCTAGAGTTTTGCTCTTTGTTTTTTATTTGAATATGGCGAGTGCTGTGCTTTTTAATTCTGCGAGTTCTTATGTTCGATATCGGCGAATTTTGTTTGTTTCAAGGAAAGAGACCGGATGACTTCATAATTCCGGAAGGATACGAGCCGGATGAAGATGAAAGAGCTAAGATCGAATGGGAGAAGCAAAATGAACAGCTGACGTTGCAGCTCCTCAAGTGAGTAGACCTCTAGTAAAATAGATTCAATGGAAGAAACTATTTGACAAACTGTTTTTTGTTTTCATATCATTTCTTCAACGCAGTGGATAGAGCTGATAATTTCCAAACACCAAGTGTGGTTAAGTTTCGAACTGGGACTTATATTTTTTGCTTATTAGAACTTTGCTTCATTCAGGGTGTCGCCAAATTCCAGCTTACACCTGCTTTGAGCGATTTTATTTTTTGCTGCTTGTATTCAAAATATAATTTAGTCTCCTGTGATTTTATTATTATGGGTAACAGGAAATTGTACATTTTGGAAGGTTGATATGGGACAGCGAACACTGTTTAATTTCAGGACGGAAGAAGAGCGCGAGAAGGCTCTGGCGGGGGATAGATATATAGCACTTCAGAATGCGGAAATGAGTGAGGGCTGTTTCCCTAACGTGGAGCCATTTGAGTGTACAGTGTGCTATCGGGACATTGACGTGGGGGAGGGCACGGCTCTGAGACAGTGTCATCACCTGTTGTGTAATGAATGTCTAGTGGGACATATCACAGGTCAGGAATATTGTTGCTGTTGCCTTGGTTAAGACTCAATGAACATTTAGGTTGCTGATGTTTTTTTAGTTTCTTTTTTATAGGAAAAGTCATAAAATTTGTTCTGGCTCAACTTTACTATTACGCGGTTTGACTTTTAACTTCTTTTTGTTAAAAGGAAGGCAAACTCCGCTATCGAACAACAAAAGTGTATATAGGTCACGAAAAACCTCATCGACATCTAGTTTCGTAAGTGAAATTTAATTTTCAGATTTTCCAGCGGAATAAAAAATTTACCTATTGACCACTTAATCGCGCTAATGTTCAGTACTTAGGTCAGTCAAGAGTTCAACAGGGTTGGAGACAAGTTGAAACTACCCCCAGAAAAGACATTACACTCCATCAGTAGCGGATTTAGGGGAGGGGGCAGACGCCCCCCCGCTCAGGGATTCGAGCCAGTGCCGACCCAAAGTGTCCCCCCTTTGTACTACTTCGAGATATCCATTTCTGGCTGACCGGCCCTTAAGTTTTTCTAAAGGCGTCTTCGGCGCCAGTATACAATTTTGAGGCAAGAGCGCGCGCCATAAAACCGCAATTTTTTGGTCAAAATTGCCAAAAAGTGCTTAAAACTGCCGTTTTGGCCTGTTTTTTTTTTTCAATCATTTGTCTGCGGCGCAGCAAATTTGGTCAAAATAGGGTATTTGTAGTACTTTGGGAGCGCTCGGAGAATTAATTTAGTCAACCTAAAAAAAAGGTCGACATAATTTTTGAAAATCTGCCCCACCATGTGAAAATCCTAGATCCTCCTCTGCAATCCATTTTTTAATTTCGACTGAACTGATATGCGTGAATAGAGCTGCATGTAATAGGCATAAGGTTAGTGTCAAGTTAATAACCCGCTCCTCGCTTCCAAGGAAATATCTTCTACCTCAAAAAATTATTTGGATTGAGATTACTTAGAGCTGCATGCAAAAGACTCGATTTTGATTGGTGGTAAAATAAACCTTCCGAAATACCCTGATCTACTCGTACATTTTTAAATGGAATTTGATTTCAGGATTTTTGTTCGGACCACCGGGAATGTGGGAAAACTTTAGAAACAGTTGTGGTTTTCAACTCAAATCCGGGTAACATAAGTGAACTACAGATGCGGTTAAGTGATTCGCGAGCTACAGTGATAAGCTCTGAAACTGACCCGGGGTTTAAATTTAAAAGTAATCTGAGCTAACTTGCAAGAGCTAGCTTCCCAAATTACAGATCAGGAGCAGTGACTTCAAGATGGCAATCTTTTTATAAAAGCTTTGGCGGTGTATAAACCAGCCGAAATATAAACTAGCCGAAAATATGTTATTGAGAGTAATGAACGTAGTGAGTACTCTTATATAGGTCTTGTTGATTTTTTTTGGTTTTTTTTCAGGAAAAAGTCTTAAAATTTGTTCACGCTCAATTTTGATTTTTCGCGGCTTGACTTGTGATTTCTTAAGTTCAGTGCATTTTCATTGTTAAAAGGAAGGCAAACTCCGCTATCGAACAGCAAAAGTGTAAAGTTCACGAAAAACGTGATCAACTTCTGATTTCGAAAATGGAAATTAATCATCAAATTTCCCAGCGAAATAAAAGTTTAACGTATTGATCGTTTTCTCAATTTGGGTTGATTTTAACAAAAAAGTGTCATCATAAATTGTTCTACAAATTCAAAGAGCTTCAAGGCCATCTGTTTTATGTTCTTAAAAATTAAAAAGTTGAAGGTTCTTGAAAAATACAGTTTTTTTTCAGTTTCCTTCCTTTCATTTCTCTTTTCCAACTGTTAGTTGGCTATGTTATAGTAGTTATCTGACGATTATGTAACAGTTACGAAAATCGTGCAAGTTTCATCATATGATGTAACAATTCGGCTGGTTTTTACTTCGGCTGATTTGTTAATTTACAATGAATAATTTCTTGTTAAAGCCTCTGAAGACGGTGTGCGTGTGACGTGTCCGTTTGTGGAGGAGGATAATAGTAGCTGTGAACAGATGATAGAGCAGCAGGAGATTAGGGCTCTCTTGTCAGAGGAACAGTACGACAAATTACTTCAGGCAGGCGTCTCACAGGCAGAAGCAGCTGAACCCAACAGGTATCCATCCACCCTCACATTACGTAAAAAGTTAACAAGAACATGTGATTGCAAAAAATAGGGTTTTGCGGACCAAGATTTAAAAATTGATGTTTGAAAAAGTTAGAATTTTGAAAAAGTAACGGGCTTGGTGGATGTTAGGCGAACGTACTTTTCTTCATTGAAAAGTCGGTGAAAAAGTTAGGGTTTTGAAAAAGTAACGGACTTGGTGGATGGTAAGCTAACGTACTTTTCTCAATTTAAAAGTTGTTCTCAATTATGTTGCAAGAAATTTGCGACTCTCGATGGACAGCTGAATCTGACAATTGTATGCAGAATGGTTTCAAACAAGCCGTTTAATCAATCGGTTCAATCCCACAAGCTGAAGTCTATGAGGATCATTACGCGGACGGTTAAATAAGACACACGATAAAAGTTACCTAGGAGACTCTAATGGCCTATTGAGCTGAAAACAAAAAAATGCATCAGGGCAATTTTTTTTTTTAGCAATTCGGAGTTTCATTGAATCTTTTGGATTTTGACTTATGCAATTTTGAGTTTTTCTTTTGACTTATTTTCATCTTTAATTTACGAAGTTTCGAATAGTTGCCTTTTTCTGCAAAATAAAAATCGTAACTTTGCTTGTTTCTAATTTTCATCTTTATTTTATTTCGACTCATGATTAGTTGCCAGGAATAAAGTTTTTCGGCATATTTTAGCTTATTTTTTGCGCCGATTCCGGCTGAATAACTGCAATTTTGACAGTAAATTTTTTTTGGTAATGATATACTTTATGCTTGATTAAATCAAAGTTGTACCTTACCTTATAAAGATCAGCTTGATTAAAATTTTCTTCTATAATGTAGAGACAGTCCAAAGTATAGGCATGAAAACAAAAAAACTTCTAAAAACAACATAAAAGGCCTATGTTTCAAAGCAAATGATAAAGTAAACATTTCAGCTAGTTTGTCGATGTGAAAGATATTAACTGAATCATTGTAATTTCCACATAAGAGCTGAAAGGGTCCGCCCTAACGTTTTTAATTCCAGACTTTGGGAAATCTCTGTTTTTGGCACGAACTGGTTCACTTTTTGGCATTTCGACTGGGCCGACAAGCACCATTTCTGCTATATTCCGGGGTGGAAATATAAAAGAATCAGAGGAACTCTCCACGTATTTGATATTTTTCAGCAATTTTTTGCAGTTTGGAGGTGTCATTGAAGCTTTTCGATTTTTGAGTAGTTACCTTTTGTACAAAATCTAATTTTTAATTTTTCTTGTCTAGTTTTCATCTTTTTTTTTCTACAAAATGTAAATTTTAATTTTTCTTGTCTCTAATTTTCATCTGTAATTTTCTCTTCGTATTTTGACTATTTGCTCTTTTCTACAAAACGTAAATTTTAAATTTTCTTTCTGCTTTTTATCTTCGAATTTAGGCTTGCTACCTTTTTCTATAAAAACCATAATTTTAATTTTCTGTTTCTCTATGTTTGTATTAAGAGAAATGAAAGTAGTTAAGACTCTTATATAGGTCTTGATGTTCTTTTCAGGAAGTCTTTAATTTGTTCAAGCTCAATTCTGGTTTTTCACTATTTGACTTTTGATTTCTTTCTTAGTTCGGTTCATTTTCATTGTAAAAAGGAAGGCAAAATCCTTTTTTTGAGCAGCCAAATTGTAAATGTTGCAAAAAACGTAATCGACTTCTAGTTTCGACAGTGGATTTTAATGTTCAGAGTTCCCATCGAAATACAAATTTTATTAAGTTATTTAATTTTCTCAAATTCGGTTAAATTTATCAAAAAATTTCGAATCAAAAATTGTTCTTGAAACGCATATGAGGCATATTTTACAGGGATATTTTTTCTTTTGAATTTGAAATTTTAATTTTTTTTAAAATGAAGTTTTTCTTGTCAGTTTCACTTTTCAAACTGTCAGTTGGCCATGTTGTTCATTTTCTTTTAGCTTCCACTGCAAAACCGCCGACTGTAGAGGCTGGTGTATAGTGGAGGAAAATGTCAACTTCTTCCCTTGTCCCCTCTGTGGCCAGCAGAACTGCCTCACCTGTGCCGCCATACATTCCAACATGAATTGTCAACAGTACCAGGTAACACACTTCAACATTGCCACTGAATTGAAAGACGAAATTATTTCAAGTCTTGATGAACTGTAATTTAACCGAAAACGGATCTGGAGATCAAATAGTGTTCTCACAGGCACTGCTAAAGTGTCATTTATAGTGAACTTCTGTATGATTTCTGCGTAGTGTGATATTAGAAGGCGAATTTTTTGCAACCTAAGTTGCAAATATTAGTGCTACTTTCTTTTTGATGGCACTTTTGAAGTAGGCAGCCTTGGCACTTTGATAGCCTGTGCTTTGAAAGTGCAAATCTGAGACTAAGAGTCCGATTTCCTAGTGTTCCGAGGGTGTTTCTAACCTCTGTTGGCTATGTTTAACGTCTGCAAACGTAAGCGAAAAAGAGCGATTAACCTGCTGGCTTCATTACGACCACTTAGTCGAAATTTTCTGACAGCTAAGGTACATTAATCAATTAACTGATAAGAACCTCTGGCAGCCAAGACAGTTTCCTCGGCCATGAAAAAAAACGCGTGATTATCTGGTTCGGTTCTTGTTTTTTTTTATAAAGCGTTTTTTATGTTAATGTTTGCAAAGAGCAAATTCGCCTCTATATTAACACTCGCAAATGGTTGTGTTCCATTACGATGTCACTTTTCTAATGATACTCCAACGCAAAGTTGCTCAATTTCATTTTCTGGTGAGGAGGGAGTTGAGCTAGCCTCGCAACTGGCTGAGGCAGTCTTCGCCTGCGGTGAGATCCCTAAAGACTAGGAGCATAGCTTTATCCTGAACCTCTTCAAAGGTAAAGGTGAAGCGCTAGATCGCGGTAACTATCGTGGCCTTAAGCTTACAGACCAGGTCATGAAACTGCTGGAACATGTGTTGGACTCTCTCATCCGCAACATGGTGGACATTAATGAAATGCAGTTCGGTTTCGTGCCGGGCAGGGGAACAACTGGTGCCATCTTTATTAGCCGCCAGTTGCAAGAGAAATACATCGCAGCGAAGAAGCCTCTCTATTTCGCCTTTGTCGATCTGAAGAACGCTTTCGATCGAGTGCCAAGAAAAGTCCTCTGGTGGGCTATGAGAAGTCTTGGTGTCGAGGAGTGGGCGATACGTGTCATCCAGGGCGGGTCAACGGACAGTACAGTAAGGAGTTTGGAGTCGGAGTGGGCGTGCATCAAGGTTCAGTACTCAGCCCGCTGCTCTTCATGGTACTGGAGGCGCTTGGGAGATTCTGTACGCTGATGACCTTGTAATTATCGCTGATTCCATGGGGGAGTGCATCACCAAGCTGAAGGTCTGGAAGGCAAACATGGAGGAGAAAGGTTTGCGAGTAAACATGAAGAAGACTAAGATTCTAGTATCCGGTCTTGGCCTTGAACAGTTGCAGGACTCCGGCAAGTACCCCTGCGCAATGTGTCGCAGAGAAGTACGCTCAAACACGATTAGGTGCTCCCATTGTAAACTCTGGGTACACAAGAAGTGTTGTGGCATTGCTGGGAGACTGTCTGCAGATCCAGAATTTGTCTGTCCAAAATGTCGTGGCGAGGCTCGTCCAATCGATGGAAGGACTGAAACCCAACGACGTGGACGGAACCTTGCTTTGTCGAAGCCAGCTTCTGTTACCTGGGAGATATGCTGAGTGCATTTCCACGGCTGCACTTCACCAGAAACTCGGGGTCGTTGAGGTTACGTCTGTCCTACGAACACGACGTCTCAGGTGGTTCGGACATGTGCAACGTGCATCGTCATGCATCAACTCCGTCACCAGCATGGCAATCCCTGGCCGCAGAGGTAGAGGGAGACCCAGAAAGACGTGGTCAGAGTGTGTGAGTAATGATGTTAGTGTCTGCAATGATTGAACCGATCCGCGGGACAGGGAAGGATGGAGAGCAGGAGTTAGACGTTGCCAGGTGTTGCCAACCCCAGTGACTGGGACTACTGCAGCACCTTAAATACCAAAACCGGTTATGATGATGATGATCAGTATATGTGTATTGTTCTAAATCTAATACATTCAGCAATAGCATGTGTTTGATCTACTTTATAGGCGGCAGATTTTTTAAAAGACATGTAGTTGGTATCTGGGTGGTGCTGAACACATAGCGAATTGCAGCTTCGCCTCTGCATGTGAATTTTGAAAAAATAATTTTCATAGACCATGGCATCCATCGTAGGTTCTTTAGTCGTTGAAAACTCGACTGATTATTTTTACATAAGCGTCAGGTTAGTGTGTTATTAGGAACCTTCTTTTTTTCTAACCTAACTCACAAATAAAAGTGTTCATTACAAGTGTTCACTTATGTGGAAATTTCACTGTAGCACTGGAAATTGCAAAGCATCTGTTCTGTGCTTCATTTGTGGCTAGCGTTAAATCGTCTAACGCCTAATAAGCGTCCGTGACAGTGGTTAGAGGCCGCATGTTCGAATCTCAGACGTTGCCGAATTTTTGCTAATTCGAGTATTTGTACTTTTTCTTATTGCACTTTATAAAGCTGTTTTTTTTTGTGTCGTGTTCTCGCTATTGTTTGCGAAGCGAAGTTTTGCTCTATGGAAAAATATATTTACTTCATATTTTTTTGTTTCCTTGCGTTCATTGACTCTTTCCAACTGTCTGCCGAGTATGTTTTACAAATTAGGTTTTTGATAAACAACTTGAGTTGAGAAGTCAATATCCATATGCGTTTCTTATCTCGGTTGTCTTTCAGGATGACATAAAAGCGAAGGCGGCCAATGACGAAGCAGCTCGAGCTACAGAACAGATGTTGCAACAACTAGTCCAATCGGGAGACGCCATCCACTGCCCTGGATGCAAAGTGATAGTGCAGAAGAAGAGTGGCTGTGACTGGATGCAGTGCAGCATGTGTAAAATGGAGATCTGCTGGGCCACTAAAGGGCCTAGATGGGGTCCGGGGGGCAAAGGGGACACATCGGGGGGCTGCAAGTGTCGCAGTCCTGATAGGTGCACGCCTACCTGTGGAAATTGTCACTGAAGATGACGGTCATGGTTATGAAGAAGAAGACTAGAATAATAAAATAGCTACACAACAATAACAATATTACAATAATTTCAACCTGAGTTCTTCGAAACTATCCAACTATCACTACAGGAGCCCAAATGATGATGACATGAATGATAAATTCCAGAAGAATTTTCTCCAGAATTTACTCAAAATAGGCTCCATACCCGAAATTCTATTCTATAATTTCATTGGAACAGAAGTTTATACGGTCTACGACCAATTTGAATACAACTTGGAAAACTGGGCGCTTTATATAATTTTAATTTTTACAAGCAAATTATTTCATTCCTTTATTACAGATGCGAGTGTGCTGTTATATTACGAAGCAATTTTTTTCCAACCCAATTCGCAAATATAAGTGTTCATTTGGTGGCACTGCAAATTAATTGCAGCTGCAGCTAATATTAGAATATTTCCTTGCGTCTGTAATACAGATGCTATGACGTGAGACTTGTTCGGAGGTTTGATTCTGGCTTATTGCAAAAGTTTTATTAAGGCTTATTTTTTTCTACTTTTTCATTTTTTTCTGCGATTTTATCGCTTCCGTTTGCGAAGTGCAATTTGGCTTCTGTGTAAGATATCATTATTTCGGCAACCTTCATTACATCGAACAAATCGTTGTACCTTTTGGCTCATACACTATCATCTAGAATTTTTATTTTTATATGGGTCCTTTTTATCCTGGTTCTTATATTCGAAGTTTAAAATTTCCTAAAACTTTCAGCAAAGCTTGATCAGGCAACAAAATAGGCGCTTATGCAGGAATTTTTTTGGTCGTCAATAAAAACTGCATGTATCCTATTTTTGGGGTTCAATTTGCGTGTGTTCTTTCAAGTATGTCCCTTATTCTCTGTTATTTCATCGAAAAAAAGATATCTCTCACTGGCATTAGTTTGTGGACTTGTATGAACAAAAAAATGGTATACAATTTCAGCAATCCAACATATAGTTTCAAAAAAGATTCCCAGATTGACTCTAGAATAACACATGTTTTTAACGATAGTTTCAGACCACTCTCACAGTTCCGTTTCGATTTCAGATAGAGCATAGCTCTGCATGATGAAGCTGTCTCCATTGTGCATTGTTGATCTGAAGCTACTATCATTAGCTGTGTTAGTTGCTGCCATTCTAATAGACGAATTGGATGCTGCCAGAAATAATAAATCTGATGCAAATGCTAACAAGGATTTGTATGGGATTTTGGGAGTTGCTAAGAGTGCCACAGATAAGGAAATCAAGAAGGCATATCGCAAGCTGGCCATGAAATATCACCCTGATAAGGTATCCTGAAACTTTTTTGATGGCACTTGAGGCAGTCAGTTGTATGGAAAAACTTGGAATTTAGTGCGCGTTTTAGCTTGGGAAAATGTGGAAAATGTCTTTTTTTGGCTTCTGTTTTGAGTACTAGCTTAGATTTTTTAATTTGATTTTTTAGGTTTTATACTTGAAAGCTTCAGTTTTTTTTTTTATTTGCCCCCGGCCTGCTCAGTGCAGGACCAACCGTGGGGGAGGGGGAGATGTCATCCATTTTGCCGCAGCCGGTCCCACCTTGAGGAGATGGATGACACTGGGACCCCTCCAGCCGTGACCGTAGTGTAAGAGTACGACTATTCTTTTTTCCAACCCATGTCGCAAATATTGGTACCCTTTTTGGTGGCATCTTTACGGTTTTTTGAGAGCATGTGCTTTGACATTCGATTAGCAGTAAGTTATCACAGTTGATACATTTTAAATGAATAAAAAAAAACGATTTTTTTCAAACGACAGAACAATCATAAAAACTCAATTTCAGAAATTTTCTAACTCAATATATCTCGCAATTTTTTGAAATGCATAATTTATACATAATGTGGCTTTATGCTTTCCATTTTATTACATGCAAAGTTAGCGTGGATGCCCAGTTTGTTGTATTCCAAATGATTACATTCAAAATTGTGTCTAGTTGTATTTGGTGCCACTTTTGCTGCGTGGCTTTGGCAAATTTTTAGCATATGTAGCTGTTTTATTCGTGGTTAGTGTTTGCAAGTTGTCAAAGGCTTGTAGTGCAGATGCGAGGTCAGAAGACTCTAAAACTACAGGTCGTAGAATCGAATCCGCAACAGCAAAGGTTTCAAATTTCAAGGTTTATCTTTACCTTTTGTTTTTCTCATTTCAATTTTTAGCGCAGCTTTGTCGTTTTCTCGCTAGTTTTGCGAAACAAGCGTCGCCTCTGTCTTATGAAATGATTGATTTTTCTCCGTGATTTTTTCTCTGATTGTAGAATTTCTATCGCTAATTATTTCTTGAATTTTGGCGGTTTCACTTCTGATTACCTTTGAAGCTCCCTTCAACAACCTTTATCAAACTGAGGACAAAGTACGCTCTCCTATAAAAGAAACAGAAAGTTTTTTTAAAAAGATTTTTAAGTCTAGTAAAATGATTGCGGATTTAAAATGGCTTTGGCCTGATGCGAGCAGTTTTGTTGAGTTTTGTCTTCAACTTCGAGTTTCAAAAAAAGAAATACATCAGCTTATAACTTTTTTGAATTTCATTTAAAAAACTGTTTCATTGGATTGGGAATTCTTAAAAAAACTCAAGTCAAAACTTTCGAGTCATTTTTTGTTATAGGAGATCGTATTTTTCCTTCAAGGGTCTTACAAGTTTGATAAACAACTTGAAGAGAGCTTCAAAAGTAATCAAGAGTTATATGTTGATGTGCTTTGTTATGTCAAACTCGAAAGTTGATGACAAAAATCAACAAAACTGCCCTCATCACGTCAAAGTCTTTTTTGTTCCGACTACATGTTAAGGCATCAGAGGTAGTCTTTGGTTGAAAATAAAACATTGAAAATTCGATAAAAACCTTTTCGGGCAAAAATGTTTCCACGCTAAGTGAAGTACAGTGTGATATATTGCGATCTAATATCTGTAATTTGGATAAGTTTTTTGCCTCAATTCAGCTTGAAATAAATTGTCAGCAGGGTTTTTCTGACGCCTACGCAAGGATATTATCGAGAAAAACTTCAAACCTCCATAATGATGATAAACGCGAGTTAGCTAGCGTACTGTCATATTACGAATTAGAGTTTTCCCCTGACTCTACTTAGTAAATTAATTGCTCATTTAGTACTTCGTGGCTCTAGTTCGTAAATTAAATGATCATTTAGTAGCGCTTTTGCTGGCATAGCTTTGGCAATTCAAAAGCATCTAATATGTTGGTGTTTGACTATTTTCGAGTGATCATGGCGCATATATATGAGACTCTTTATCCCCATACCGTGAGACTCTTTATCCCCATACCGGGGTTCGATTCCGGTTAATATCAAAAGGTTAATATAGCATTGGCAATTAAATTCAATTCTTGTATCATCTTTCTGGGTGACTAGTATTTGACGGTTTTCAAGCGACCAATGAGCAGATGCGACTACTTGAGATTCTCAATGCCCAGTCCGGGAGTTCGATTTTTGCTCAAGTTAAAAGTTTTTTATTTTTACCTTTAGAAGAGTCAATGAACGTAGTTCAGACCCTTAAATTTTCTTTTCGCAGTTTGACTTTTGATTTTTTTTTTTTCAAGTTAAGTTCATTTACTTTGTGATGGTCACGAAAAATGTGATCGACTTCTAATTTCGATAATGGAAATTAAATATCAGATTTCCCAGCGAAATAAAAATTTTACCCATTGATCGAGTTTTCTCAAATTGGGTTAATTTTATCAAAAAAAGTGTCAAGCTTAAATGGATCCTGAAATTCAAAGAGCTTTGAGATCATCTATTTTTTCCTTTAAACCGAAAGTTGAGATTTAAAAAAAATAAATCCGTTTTTTTTTTTCTGTTTACTTGCCTTTATTGACTCTTCCAAATGTCTGTTGGCTATGTACTTTTTTAGAGAACATTTTTGCCATTTTTTGTATGTGTTTTCAAAGTGCAGCTGTGTGAAACTTTCGAAAAATTGACATTTCGTCATTTTACTTGAGCTTAGTAACAGTTTTTCCACTGTCTCTTGAGATTTTTGGCTCATTCGGATTTCTTGTAAAAGTTTCGATCTTGGATCGATTTCTTGTTGCTAATTAAAATGAGCCAATTTCAAGTGATTGACATGTCTACTTGGAAGCTTTCTTATTTGGCTTTCATATTTGTCTGGCTGCTTTCGAATCAGCTAACATATGCACATGTGACCGTAGTCTTTCAATTTGGCTAATTTAGATATTGGCCTTTTTCGGGTTTTAAGTATGACGGTCTCATTGGCACTTTGACGGTTCCAATTATGCCTGTTTTTCCCTCAGGTCGCCCCAGAAGAAGCCAAAGAAGCCGAGGCAAAGTTCGTGGAAATCAACAAAGCCTATGAGATACTCGGGGACAAAGAGAAACGAGCTCAATATGACAAGTATGGCGAGCAGGCTTTCGACGGAACTGGGCAGGCCAAACACCAGGGTGGAGGGTTTGGAGGATTCGGGGGCTTCGAGTTCCATTCTTCGGATTTCTTCGACAGTTTCTTCGAAGACCATTTCCGAAGTCACAATTTCAACCACGCCAAGCATCAAGAACAGCATCGAAAGCAGCACAATCACCATCACTCGGCGGGTTTTGCAGGTGGTGACCCGTTTGACGGGTTCTTTGACGGGTTCGGAGACTCGATGGGAGGCTTTGAGTCGTTCAGCTTCTCGTCTGGCGGAGGAGGAATGGGACAAAATTGTAAAACTGAAACTATAATAAGAGGAAATTCTAGAAGTACTACAACTGTATGCAGTTAGAGATACAATCTGTAGCTGAAGTGCCGAAAAACTTGCTGAAAGTATAGATTAATTTAGATGTTGTGCTAAAATTGTGCTTTCGTTTTATGTAAATGCGATCATTTATTTATGATAGATAGTCTTCAAAATTATATATTTGGACAATGGGAAAACTTTCTAAATTGCTGAAATTGTTTCGGTCATTTGAAACTTTTAATATTTATATAGAAATGTACTATTGAATGTAATAAAAAATTTTGATCTGTACATTGCTTACCCTATTTGTTTCCGTTGAGGTTATTTTAATTTATTTATGTTTTTTTCTTTTTTGAGCTGTTCTATGTGTTACTCAACGAAGTGAAGATAATCTAATAGAACGTTGCGATTTTGACCACGTCACTAAGGGTGTTTTAAAGCAAATATGGCGTAGTTTCCTTTTTTCTTGCCATATTTTCAATTGTGTGGTATAATAAAGCCCTTTTGTCTGTGTTTAGGGTTCTAAAAATATAGTCTATGTCCAAAAAAAACTGGTTTGAATATTTCCGATTTTCAGACTGAATAAGACAAAAATTGATGAATGTCTGACCTCCCACTACCATTTTAAAATTGTTGAGTTTGTGGTTGAGTTCGTTGACACTTTTCTTACTTTATTTTGCCTATATTTTTGTTTTCGTACTCCGAATTCGGCATTTTCCTCAAATTGGCATTTTCCTCAAGTTGCTTGAATTCAACCAAAATTATTATGCTGCAATTCTTGGCCTATTTTTCTCAAACAAATTTTCACCAGCTTTTACCTATATTAATCAAGAGTTACGTGGAAGAATCAAGAATTTGTGGAATTTTTCACCCTTGTAAAATTTTGTTGGGCTGTGTAAGAGGCTTTTTTTGATATAATTTTGTAAAATAGTTTACCTCAGTAATTTTAACCTAATTTTTGATGGTTTACAAAAAGTCGAAATGGCCCATTTTTCAGTCAAAATTTTGTTTGAGAATTTCGGGAAAAAACTGCACCATATTAATTCTGGCGAAATTCTAAGCAATTTTTGTTCTCTTCACTTTTCGTCTCATCTTGACTCAATTTGAGAAAAACACGTTTTATTGTTCAAATACTGTTCGCGGTGTCCGTTTAGTTTAAATCAGCACTATACAGTGCTGATTTAAATTATCCGGACAAAACGAACAAAACTTGAATTTTCAAACAAGTTTCATCTCAAATTGGGTTAAGATAAGACAAAAAGTGGAGAGAACAAAAGTTGCATAGAATTTCATCAGAATTGATATGGTGCATTTTTTTCTCCGAAATTCTCAACCAAAATTTTACCCCAAAAATGGGTCACTTTGGCTTTTTTCAATTAATCAAAAATTACGCTGAAACTATTTAATTAACTGATATAGAAAAATACATCACAAGAAGCCTCTTGCACATCCCAACAAAATTTAAGAAAGGTTAAGTCTCCAAAAATTTGCGCAAATAGTTTAAAACTTGTTTTTAAGCAAAAATTCTGGGTTTTATATAGTAAAAATCACATTAATTGAATATCAAGTAAAAACTTTTTATACTGGTTTTTGGAGATTTAACCCTTCTTAAACTTTATTGGGCTATGTAGGATGTTTCTTCTGATATAACTTTCTCATCAATTAACAAAGTAGTTTCAGTGTAATTCTTGATTAATTGAAAAAAGCCAAAATTACCCATTTTTTGGGTAAAATTGTGATTGAGAATTTTGGAGAAAAAATAGCACCATAATAATTCTTATGAAATTCTAAGCAACTTTTATTCTCTTTATTTTTTGTCTAATCTCAACCCATTTTGAGAAAAACGTGTTGGAGAATTCAAGTTTTGTTCATTTTGTCCGGTTAATTTAAATCAGCACTGTAGTTTTCAATGCGTTCATCGACTCTTAATACCGGATTTTAGGAAATAAATCGGAAAAATGATCATTCTTGATATTTAAAAAAAGTTTCTGATTTTTGCTATACTTTTTTTTCAATCAATAAGGTCGGATTTTTCTGTGGTAATTGCACAGCAACCGGCTATTGTTCTCGTTCTTCAAATTTGATTTGGGAAATAATTACTAGGAATCATAACATTGTTCCTCAGTGTGCATCCGATAGGATTTGAGACTCTTGATCAGAGCGTTGAAAACAATTCACCACATGCCTGTTGGAACCTCGAAATTTTCTGGAGAACTAATCACCCTCAGTAATTCTTAGAAAAACACAACGCAACTATACTGCATGCTTGTTCCGAAACGATTGTAGCGAATCCCGAACAGATGAAAAAAAAATTTCAAACCAATTGCAGTTTCACTTGACAAACTACAGAGCGAAAAATCTCACCTGACGTATGGGAAGCTTCGTGCTCAACTCGGCGTTGTGAAAGCCGGAAAGTTTGCGTTTCTGTTCAAGAAACTCAATTCTTGTTGATATGTTAATTTAATTAACAATTTAACAAAAATAACATGTTTTTTTCGATAAATAACAGTTAGTTTGTTATTTTTGTTCTTAACTTACATTTTGCCAACCCTGTCAGTATAAGTATTCCAAAACGTTTTGCATAAGTCGGAGCATCAACAAAAATGATATAATTTAGTCCAAGTATGCGTGTAAGTATTGTAGCACACTATTTGATCAAAAATTGAAGAAAAAAAATCCTGTTATCTAATGCTTTTAATTTAGCAACCAAAAACGTTTTTGTTGCATTTATTATAAAGAGTTTTATGAATTGTCTTTTTAAAATATAAAAAAGTTTTTGGCAGTCGAGTACTGCGTCTGACACAGTACTCGATTTCCGACAAACGCATAATTGTACTTAAGTTGGTCACCTCGCAAAAAAAACTGCATCGCTAAACGATTTGAAAATTAGGGGAAAATATGCTCTAAAAAATTGATTCAATTTGAATTTTATCCAAGTAAACCCTTGCAAGTGGAAACAACGTTTTCGGTTCTAAACTTTTGTTAAAAGGTTTCTTTTCGGTCTATTTTAATTTTTTTGTTTCTCTGAGTCGCAGAGGATATCATAGCCTGTCATGCTTGTCAAGAGGATTCCGTAATTTTTCCCCATAAAGTAGATTGAGTTCGTTTGTTTTGAGTGTATTTTGCTGAAATAACTTTCACGTGATACCAATCATGAAGTGAAAACTGGTTTAGCTGTGGTAGAGCTGAAGCTTCATGAAAGCAAAATTACCAGGCATACCCGAGACTGGAAAGTTGTAACTAGCACGGTAAGAATTGTGTTTCAGTTAACAAAATAGAATAACGATAGCCGGTTGCTATGCAAGTAGCGCAGAAATTTCCGACCATATTGATAAAAACTACAAAAATGTTTTTTTTTCTGAGTTTATTGTCGTTTTTTGTGCGTAGCGCGATGAGAGAACTATAACAACGCGTATAAAATTACTAAATTAGGCATAATCGACAACAGTTGCCTTCAAAAAACGAAGAATACGAAGCTTCTATATTGCTTTTTTTTCTTATAATTTTATAGAAATTTTTCAGTTGGATATTGCTTCTCGAACCCTTGTTTCAGATCATTTGAATAGCTAGTTTCAGACTTTCAAACACGCCCGGACATATCATGGTCGCGACTTGATAGCCATAATTTTGTGCCTGTTCTGACTCTTCAGATGTTTTCGAATTTAATGCCAGATTTTTGCAAATTGTGTCCAGATTTTCAAACTTTAGCGACTTGGTTTAAACTTTTCTATTCTTAGGTCCAGATTTTTGCTACTTTTTTCCACATTTTTTGTGACTTCCGAAGACTTTTGCGAGTCTACATCCAGACTTTCTGAACTCTCCTTTCCGAACTCTCTGGAACTTCGACCCGGAAAAATTGTTTCAATAACAAAATATTATTCACTTGGGCAATAATTCAATTTCTACAAATAACTTAAATTTTGGAATCAAAATAGACAGAACCAAAAATTTTGAAATAAATCAACTAATAGTATTCGTTAATTGTTTTTGCAATTTGCGAATAATTTGAAACTAATTGAAAAAAAATTATAAAACATGGAAAGATAGCTAGCACGAGATTTTCAATCTGGAATTTTGAGAAAGGGATGACAATCGTGGTGACCTCAGGACTGGTATGGATTCTTACCATTCTGATACTGGTGGTAACCTACTGTGCGATTATGCAAAAAAAAAGTTGTTAGGAAAAGCTGGACTGAAAATGGTTGGGAAAACAAAAAGGTTGGGAAAACTTCTTAATTAAATTTCTTCCCGCGATTTATAAAATAATTTGAGTTTTTTAAAATGGGAATTTAAGGTCCGCATTATGCACAGCAGCTCTTGATGTCATTTTATTTTTGAAAGATTACCGTTTTCGATATTTTAAATCTTGACTTATCTTTTGAGACCAAAAAATCTACCAAATTCACTAAAAATCAGTCCAGCTTCAAAGGATTTACAAGTAGGTGTTTTGTTTATTAATCTTGTGACTTAAGTGAGTTCGTGAAATTAAGGAAATTAAATGATAAATTATTCAATTTACTGCATGGTTTTTGATGCTGTCATTGAATTCATTTTGCTGGTTATTTGTGTGAACAAACACAAATAGGGTAATCCAGTAGATTAAGTTAAAAACCAGAAACCCAATTGGAAATAAAAAGCGTGCAGCGTTATTGACCAGTCGGCCGTCCTGAATTATGTCGCAGATTCCTCGACGTGACTTCTGCTTTCTCGTTACCGACGATGTCATTCCTCCTGATCCTCGGCTACGCAGGAAGTAGTCATTCGGCGATTCTGATTGGCTTAGGAGACCGGGATGGGAATGTGTCTTTATAGTGCCAGATGATGGTCCAAGTATTGGTCTGCTGCGTTCGTATGATACTATGTTGAGTTTTGGCACGCAATTATGCTCTTGACAGAGCATGTGATGGTGAGGTGTTGAACGGCAACTATTTGATTTTGCGCCTATGAGGGGACTCGATGCTCGAATCTGATAATTGTATTCTTCTGAAATGAAATTATTTTTAAGTTGATCAAGTTTACATAATAAACATTTCTTCAATATAGTTGAGTGTAATAATTGAAGAAATTTTGGAGGAACGGGGTCATTTGAAATTTGTTTGAAAGAGACAGTTTTTCAATGAAATGAGTATCGAAAAAAATATATTTTTCAAAAATTAATCAAAACTGGTGAAAAAATTCAGAACTGGTAGAAAGTTCTGACTATCAAAATTTAAAAAAAAATTTCTTTTGCAAATTGTGGTGTTTTTAATTAGTTCAGCTATGAGCTGATCTAAAAGAAAGCCTAGAAAAAGGTATATTTGTTGGACAGTAAAATTCGAACCATATCAAAAATTAAGCCTATTTAGCCTTCTTGACAACAACACAACTAACCTAACAGAAATAAAAAAAATCTGCAAAAAGTTAAAATAATTGTTCTCGCTATTTTTTGTCTTTCAATTGATTTTTGATAAATAGTTTGAATGTTTTTTATCAAAAAATCAATCAAAAAACAAAATAAAAAAGTAAGAACAATTATTAAAATTTTCTGCAGATTTTTTTGTTTCTGTTAGGTTAGTTTTGTTGCTTCAAAAACTAAAATTGCTTGAATGAAACTAAGTTTTTACCCTTTATTTTTGTTTTGTTGATGTGCACTGAGGATTTTTAGGCCATTTTAAATAGACTTTGAATGCAAAAATTTTCATATGATTTATCATTTAACCCCTTGCGACGATTATTTGTGGTACCTGATTTTGCGAGGAAAACAAAAAAAAATAAAAAATTGAAGATAGCCAGATGCTGTGCAAAACAAAGTTTTGGTTGGTGTAATTTTTTGCTGCGTTGTGGGATAAAAGAATCTGAACAATTAAATATAGCTTAGGCATATTCGACAGTCATAGTAAAAATGAGTTTTTGAGTTTTTTTATTTCGCTAATGACGCTGAAAAAACTCCAAAAACTAATTTTACTTGAGTAAAACTAAGTTTTCACGGCTTATATTAAGCACAAATAAGCTATAAAATCCTGCTTGCTCGCTTTATTTGCTCGATTGTAGACTAAAAATCAAAAACGTTAAACCGCTTTTTCTCGATACGGGGAAAATTTTTTGAAACTTTTTCAATGTCCTTCGAATCACGACTGAAGGGCTTTAATATGAGAAATCTTTCGACCCATTCCGATTGTTTTTTTATTCCAATTTAATTGTGGTACCTAATTTTGGGTTGAAAACAAAAAAGAAAACAGTAAAACACGTCCAAATACAAATTTAATCCTCATTTTTATGGTCGGAACAACAAAAAATAATTAATTTCAAGAACTAGGTGTAAGTAAACTTGTAAAAAATTTCGAAAATTAACTAAAACTAGTTAAAAAGGTAATAAGAGATGCATTGACTCGTAGCGTTAACAATTTAGATAGTTTTTCGTTTGTCTCAACTCCGAGAGAATGTTTTTGGAATTTTTTTCGGAACCCGAAGCTGGAATTAAAACTTAAATATGGTATTTCGATGGAAATAATTTTACCCAAACAGAAATTGCCCAAAAAACTAACCCTTGAGGCTGGGCGATTCCTTAATCCTAGATAGTTCTTCGATTAAAGAGCACTTTGCTTATGAGGTGAATGTTAAAAGCTCCTGAGAGGGAGCCTCGCTTAGCCAACTCTCAAGGTAGTACCGATTTTATCTGGGCTTATCATGATTACAAAGGAAATTTACCATCTTGATTTTTCCTCGCGTCTTTTTCTTTGCTTATTAAAGCCTGAATGAGAACTTTCCGTTGAACCTCTTTTTCTTTCTTCCTGTAAGTTGTGTAGTCCGACAACGCGAACTCGAGCATCGCTAAAATTACGAACACGAAACATGCCCAAATATAGATATCCATGGCTGTCAATTTCCCGCTCACGTGTTTTTCATTCTGACTCGTAGATTTAGTCGCCAAGGTCAAGATAGTTAGTACAGTCGTTACTCCTAAACTAGCACGAGCAGGGGTCGCGTTGATATTTACCCAAAAAATAGACCAACTTAGAATCACAATCAATGCTGCAGGTGTGTAAACTTGCAACAGGTAAGCAGTATACTTTCGTTCTAAATAGACGAGTGCTTCCAAAGCCGAATAGTTGGAAGGTCCGTAAGTCATTGTGAAATGATTATGCTGAGTGTACAAAACATAGAACCCTAAATGGTCCACGTCGTTATTAACCGGGTCAATGAAAACGCCCATTTGCGAATCCCACGTATATTGAACTTCGCTGTCTATATAACCGAAACTAGTCAATAGTAATTTACATCTCACAACGTCAAAAGGAAACAGAATAACATTTGGCGAACAAGGTGTGACTAATCTAACTTTTCGATTGTACTCAATCCAACCGTTTTTCTGAATTATGAAGTACTGCTCTTCTGCACTGTAAAGCAGAGACCGAATTAGTAAAAAATAAGTGTCTGGATACCAAATATTATTGGGTAATATTCTGCCCGTTATTTTTATCTCTTCATCGTATTGACCTAACCTTGAGTCGTTCCATTTTTGTACTAAATAGAAATCTAAGATTGCGTCGCTGGCGATGTCTCGGATACTTTCAACGTGAACGAACACTTCAATCAAAGCCGACTGGGATCCGTTCTCTCGTTTGGGAGTTTCCAATTTGTTGTACATGGTTTTGTCCGAATGTCCACTGGCAAAAATTAAATGGTCGAAAGTTGAAAGTTTGGACGAAACTGCGGATAAATGATGAACAAGCGAAATAAAAATGCAAAAATAAAGATAAAGGTAATGACAAAAGTGAAAGTTCAAATCTGGAAACATCTTCGAACTGTATAATTGAAAACAAACTCCAGATTTTTTAAAGCCACAACAGCTGTTCTACAAAAGCCTTCATTTCCCGACAGTTTTTGATCTATAATCGCCAAAGAATTCAAAGTCCGAAAGTAACGTATTCAGACCGTATTTATATGGATTTCGAAGATATATATAACCAATATATTTTTCTAAGAATAGATCAATTGATTTCTCCTCGAAGTCTGCGTAGGAGTATAAAGATTGTCACCTCAATGAAAACCGCGGCTGAAATATGAAATATTAATTAGATAATATAGCAATTCAAAGTAGACTATATTGGCTCGTAGATATCGCAAATCATACCCTAAGATAATTTTTGGGGCCCGGTTAATTTCCTGAAGCTTCAAATTGGATCCCCAATAAAAAGCATCATGCTGATTTTTGAAAACAATGATTAGTTTAAGCCGCTTAATTTATGAAAATCCTAGATCCACCCCTGTCGCTTCTCAAACTTTTACAGCGAGTCACAAGAAGCGACTCGCGAGTTCGAGACACTGAATAATAATCAAAACGTTTTACAACCCCGACATTTTTCGGTCGCTTTTTATCAAGAACGTTTATTGACCGCATAATTGAGAGCTTATTTTGAAAATCAAACTAGAAAACTAAAAATAAAGTTTTTTTTGAAAAACATAGCTTTTTATTTATTCGATTTTACCCTAACACGATTGGATTTTCGAGAACTTCAGTTTGGTTTCAATTAGTTTTCAGTTGTGTCATTTGCACTTGAAAAAGAAAAAACCATTGAAGGCGTAAAAAGGAAAAAGAATGAATTCAGTTACCGTAAAATGAATTTATTGATATAATGTAAGTAACGTTCCGCAATGACGTTAGATTGGAAAAGTTCAACCGTCATCTCTTATTCGCAATATCTCACGTATCTAAAAAATATACTTCAAAATTACCTCTTTAATTATTTTGTTCAAATGATTTGAACTTGAATATTTGGCGAAATGGAAATTGTGGAATTTTTATTAAAATTTTTAAGAACACAAAAATCTTTACTGCTTGAAAAATGGAAGCGAGGCAACATTTTGCTGTAATACATCAAAAAAATTTATCATGCATTGGTTCCTCCTAGTTTTAATAACCGATTAGCTAGGCTTCATTTAACACACTTTTAATCAACTGAAAAAATTGCTCCAGGAAAAGAAACCTTGGCATATTTTTCTGAAAAAAAAATTACAAGATGTTTGGAAACTCAGTTTTTGTCAATTTTTATAGCATTCTTCAATTGAATTTAAATTTTTTTGTTGCAAGCAAATGTAATTTTTCGAAAAAATCAATTACGAAATTGAGCTACCTTTCATTTCAACAATTAATTCTTTCACTGTCTTTTCAAATGAAAAATAGCTCCTATAATTTTTAATCCAATCTTTAAACGGAAAAGCTGAGAGTAAAATTTTTCCACATGTTGAGAGTAATATTTGTCCAAGTAATTTAAACGCCGCCTTTAGTTTTTTAAAATATCCCACTGATAATAAGCAGAAAAGAATTTGGTCTTCAACAAATTATTAATTGTTCAGAGAAAATGTTTCCCTCAAAACACTTGCTGTTACAAAATGTTATTGTAGAAAAAAGCTGTTACAATCTAAGTATGTCTTCTTTTGGATGCTTTAGATTGATGTAACATTTTGTCCATTTTCAACACAATGTGCTCATAAAAACACACCGATTTAAAGAAATTAAAAATAAAACACCTATTACAAGTCTATTGTGATAAGTGAAAAAATTTTCTGCGATTTTCTGCAAATTGAGAAAATTGTGTTATACAAATGTATCTAGAGTGGAAAGTATTTTTTGTGTATTTACTATGAATATTAAAGTAAAATGTTTTAATTGGATTTTTAAGTTTTTGTGAACTAAAATTATGGCGGAAAATGCTTCGATTAAGGCGCAAAAAATAACTTAAAGAGCAAACATTGTTGCGACGCAAGTGTTCATTTTGAAAGTGTTCATTTTGATCAATAACTAGCTATTAAGTACAGCCAATGCTAAAGATATTAAAACAGACTATCATACTACAAATAGCACTTTAGCTTCAAGGTATCATGGATTTGTGGCGTAGAGGCCGGAAAGGAGACCTGCGAAAAAAAGAGGGTTCGAACCTGGGTAGGGTCTTTTTAATAAACTTTTTCGTATACTAGTGAAAACGCTTCCGCTCTATAATTTGAGGCATATTAGTTGGGTTTTTTCCAAATTGACATGTACTGTTAATGCATCATTATTGCCTTGCTTCACTTAGCAATTTCGAAAACTCGTAATTGGCGTGCATCCTTGGGAAATTTTGTAGACTCATTCGGTTTTCTCGAGTAGCGTTATCGTCATATTTTTGCTTGTGCATTTTTTTGTGACATAATTTTTGAATCTATATTAAGCTAAACCGTTTTGTCAGCATCGCACATTTTAAAAATCAATAAATTGATAGAAGTTACCTTATCTTTACTTGCTTATCAAAAGATGTTGTTGATTTTTAAGATTACACCATCGCCAATTTAGTGTCACATAATTCTCATTTATCTCTGGGACTGACTGTTTCAAATTTTTCTGATTATAGTTCAAATCATTTTTTTGCTCGAAAATAATATTTACCATCATATTTAAAAACTCAACGGTTTTCAACTCCACTTAAATTCTCAGAATGCTTCGACTACATGTTAAAATGATTCTCTTTAACTATCCCCTCGAGTTGCCATCTCTATAATAAACTAATTCAACAGTTAAGCATATGTGAATTTTGTACCTAGTAACGAATCTCCCTCTTTTGCAATGAAAAAACTCTCAGACCAAGGTGGCAACACTGACATCGGTTACAAACACTGATTTTGATCTCAATTCAAGTTCAAGTAAAATTATTCATTATTCAAATAAAACAGTTTCTCAATCTTGAAATTTTCACTTAGCTTAACCGCTCTTTACAACAAAATCAGAAGAAATCTCTGAAAAAACCCAACAAACTTTGAAGAAAAAATTTTGATTTTTTTCTTTCGTTTTTCATGTTTTCTTCCTAATATATTTTTTAATGTTTTTTTTTGCAAAGTGTATAAGTGCCAGAATGCTTTAGAATACTTTCACAGCAACCAGTTAGCTTGTCTCGCACTTTTAATTGTAAAAAATAACGCAAATATTGGGTCCAAACAAAGCGTTTTCTAAATTACACTAACAAACAAAAAGGTGAATGAAAACCATTTTTACACGATTTTTTTTTACTTGAATTAGGTTGAGTAGCAAAAAGTAGACAAACCATAAGGAAGACACGTCATAAAATAGACAAATATTTTGTTAACCAATCAGAATCAAACATGTACAAAATAAATCATTACTTTTTATTCTGGCTTGCATTTGCTTTTCTCTCTCCATTCTGGTTGGCCAATGCTTGTATTTGTCTACCTTTGAACCAGTATGAAAACAAGTTCCCTACTTTTTGACCGAACTCTTTTCAATTATCATAATTGCTTATCAAAATTAAAATTAGAGATAAAATGCGGCGGTGTCAAACTTCACTCTAGTGAAATTGGGGAACCACTTGGGGCAGATCTTTAATTTTCTTGAATTTTAGGGGAAAGTTTTGGGTTCTTTGTACATCACGAGTGGCTAGCAATCCATGATATTATTTGGCAATTAACGGGAAAAAAATATCCAAAAATATAATGAGGTGCCGCTTTTCCAAATACCCAACAGAGACGTGCTTCAGGATATTTGCAGTTAAACAGTTTCTTTTCCGAGCATTAAAATTGATAGGGAAATTTATTGTCGAGTGTGTTTTATTTCTTGCTTTTTTTGTAACACAAGCAAAATCAGGTACCATAAATAATCATCGGATGGGTCAAATGATATATCATATCAAAACCCTTTCAGTTGTGATGTGAACTACTTTAATTTTGAAAAAAATTGTCTTATATTTGAGAATGTTTCTGATTTTTAACCTAACTTTGAGCAAATAAAGCAAGCGAGCCTTTTTATATTTATTTTAAGCCGTGAAAACATAGTTTTACGCTTGTAAAATTAGTTTTTGGTTTTTTAGCGCCATATTGGGAATCAAAAACTTCAAAAAATCAAAAAACTGCAAAAAAGAATTGCAAAAGCTTTAAAAAAATTTTCTAATGGATTCTTATTGCCTTTCCAATCGTTTTTCTACAAAAACTGTGGTCCATTTTTCCATTTTTACCGATGATTATCGAAGATGTTTATTTTCTTGTTTTTTGTTCAGGTCTTTTTTTCAAAACACGCAGAATAAATGACCTTAATTTGAAACTTTTTTTGAAATATTTTTAAGACTACGGTCTGAACATTCTGTGCTAATTGCACAGAAACCAGCTATCCTTGTTTTTCATTGTGGGATAAATCATAAACAGTCCTCCAAAATAACCTCAGAAGAAAAAAAAAGGAAATTAAAACTAAGTTCATAAATCTAACGGACTAGAAAAAAAAGAAAAAAAACATGACTGCTCTTATAAGGAGGAAGCCTTAACTAAAGCCAAATTTTTGTCGTCTGCCATTTTATTCAAAGTTTGTATATTACATCAAAATTTTGTCAATTTTTTAACTCAATAAACTGATATTTTTAGAGCTCTAACAGCACCATATTGGCATTAGATTGACAAAAAAATCGAAAGGTAATTTTTTGGGTAAACAAGCAAAAATGCTGTCCTGGCACTTTTTGGAAGTTTATGACTAAAATGTTGATTTTTTGGGTGTACGCTACCCCTTCATAAATAGTTCATTCTGGCGCCCAAGACAACCATTAATGAAACTATGGTCATTCGACGGAAATGAATACTGTAAAAAAATTAGTACTACAGAGCCGTTAGGGTTCGAACTTCTGAGGGTGAAAAAGCCGTCTTCTTCCTTAAATCCGCAACTGACAGCTCTTAACAGGGCGAAACGCTAAATTTTTTGATTGCCGTTTGATATTTATAATATATCTTTTTTGAAAAAAAAACTGGTGCAATTTTCACAGAAGAAAAACTATTTCTATTGCTGATTAAATCAGCGCATTTGCATATTTTAGTTTTCACTTAACTTATTGGTCAAGATGTTAATTTTCAATACGAATGCCCATTTTGATACAATGTCCATTTTCGGCTAACCATTTTTGAAATTTTTTTAAAGCACTAATAATTGTTTTTTTTCTAGGTAGGCATTCGCTAGAAACCCAAGTTTTTTATCAAAAGTTTCTTGGGAAGCGCAGAAAAGTTTCTTTTAATAATTTGGCAAAAATGTAA